TTTTGAAAATATATTGCAGATACAGGTAGGAAATCTTATGACAATTATAAATGCATAATTTTTTTAATTTAAAAATTGACAGCTAATAATTTTAGTAAAGAATAAAATTCATTACACACAATGTTCATATATTGAATAACACAGAATTCAAGTTTGGAATTTGAATTTCGGAAAGTAAAATCTGAATCTGAGTCAAAAAATCATTACAATCTGGAAATACCAGAAAGGATGATTCTATTCTTGCCACATGACAAGAGTGAAGCTATGTAAAAATTAAGGAATAAATGAACGGTTGAAGCTGCAATAGCTTATCAGAATAAAAGGGACTGGATTAATAATTAAGGCCTAATAATAAGATGTACTATATATAGCATCGTTATTCGATGAAAAGCAGCAAAAATTAGTTTCTACCGGATACTTGAACCGAGAACATCAGCTACAGTTATTGCCACATGTAATTACGATTATTTTCCTATTTAAAAAAGGAAAAAGCTTTATATGTGATATCAAATAGGAATATTCTTCATGTCAATCCGTTATCACATTTCCAGAATTTGAGAAAGCACTGATACTGTTTCATCGCTTAGATTTTCAGTTACTATTATAATGAGTGAAGATTTGCATTCTTTCCACAAATGCCTTCACTAATTGTTTATTTTAATTTAGCAACAAATATTTACTCTAACAGAAGTCCTGAATGTGTTTGATCGTTTCGAATCATTAGCTGATAAAACTGCAAATAATGAATAGAAGATATCGGAAACCCGAAATTACCTTTTAATAATGTCAAAATTATGAAGGTATTTTTTGGTAAAAATTTTATTGTCAATTAAATGATTTATGAGCGATGTTGAAAAAATTTTTTACACGAAATTGTAATTTATGTAATTAATGATCATTTTCATATTTCATCGGAAACAATAAATTAATTAATTTTATATCTGACTTTTTGTTTATACGAGTTTTGAAATTATTATTTACTTTAATCTTTGATGCTTAATTTGGCTATAAAAGACGATCTTCATCAGGTATTGGTCATCTTTCCACTCTTATCCCACTATTATTCAAACCTGTTTTCAATCCTATTCCCAAACTTGAAATTTTATTTCTTGTTATATAAGTTCGCAACAGTTTTTTCCTCTTGTTCAAATTTCTAAAGGAATTGTTGCGAACTATAAATTTTTATTTTGGAAGATTTGCTTTGATACAGTTGAATATTTGGTGAAGATTGAATTTCATTAGAAAGAAATTGATCCTTCCCTTTAGATGTTATAAGATCTTAACAGTAATTTATCAGTAATAGAACCGATATCACTTAATATTGACATACTGATCCAAGAGGATATAGTTGAGAAGTATTTGCTCAAGTAGTAATCCTGAAGGAATGCAGATTTGGATTTACATAATAACAGTGTAAAATAGCACCGAAAAACTTGACGATACCTTTTATTAGTGAAGATTGTATAACAAGAAGAAATTGTACATTGGGAATTAGATTAGAATCAAATGTTATGAGGATGATAAGAAAGCAAAAACCCTTTGATAATGTTGATGCTATAGAACTAAATTAGGCATTAAAGATTAAAACAAATAATTTTAAAACTCGTGATAAACAAAAAATTATCAGATATAAAAATTAGTTGACTTAATGAAACAGCAATATGGTCATTAATCACATAAATTACAATCAGAAATAAATAATTAAAAAATTTCGTAAACATCACTATAATTATTTAATTGATAATTTTCTGTACAACAAATTTTTACAATATAAATTTCTATATAAAATACTCTTGCATAACTGAAGTTTTTGTATCACAAAATAATTTCCGATTTTCGACAAGTATAACATATATTTTATAAATCAATTTAGAAACTTCCGTCGTGTCAGTTTTACTAAAGTTTTTCCTGAATATTTAATTTATGAGGGATAATAGTCATCCTGATTATTGTTATTACCAATTGGTATAATTAAGTCGATTGATCTTAGAATTATCGAAATTCACATAAGTTAGTGGATGTATCAAGTTTCTACTTCCACTATTAAGGATTTCAAATCCTTTTCTCGCAATAATTTCCTACTTATGGTCATTCTTAAAGTCCTTTTAGTCTGATCAATTATCCGCACATAAATTTCTCCATCCCAGGGATGAACGTTCGGAATCATATTTTTCCATTTCATTCCTATTTCAACTAAGAACTCGGTCAATTGCATTTCTTGACCCATTATTAGTATTGAAAAACCAATTGAAATTGATTGCTGTTATCATTTAAAATTAGTTCAGGATAATTGCATCGGATAACAAATCTTCGAAGGATAATTTTACGAAACTTTCTACAAATAAATTATTCGCTAATTTTAAATATATCGTTTTTAACAGTGTAATAAGTGAATCTTTGATCGAAAGAGCAATTAAATAATGTAAGCCAATTCATGCAAATATTTAAAATCTTTGCACTCAAGTTTTTATAAAATTAGGCATGGTTGGTAATTTAAGTAGTTTCGCTTTTCATCAATTGCAACCATACATTTATTCAATACTCTTTTTAAACTTCAATCTTTTACCTTCAATATCGAAGACATTCTTCTTATTCATGAAATGGCATAACCTGGCTGTTGCATGAAAATCTCCGTTATGCGAGTATACTTAGAAAGATATATTGGGTGTAAACTATATTCATCAAATTCAGAGTTTTTCCAATCAACTATTAAATTTCCTTAATCATCTTCATAATATAAATTCCATTCAAACGAAATGAGAAGATAATCCAGAAAAAAAACATTTACAACATTTTTCCAACCTTAAATTTCCCCTTTTCCGCTCTAACGAGGTTTATTGATCGTTATTTTGCAACTATATTAAGTATATTAACTATATTAAGTTACATTAAGTATATTAACAACTATATTAACTATATTATGCACAGTAAACTAAGTTTGTACTAATATTCAACAAGTAGTTATTTGTTGCAAATATTAAAAAGCGAAATTCATTTCTTACGAAACTAATCTTTTTTCATTTTTTCCATTAAAGAATAAAATTATTTGCGATGCTTCAAAATTAAGTATGAAAAGAATTTGTGTGATAATAATTTATCATTAATTAATCATTGTTGGATCATTTCATCATAAAGTATTTTTAATCATTGGAAAAGTTTTCGACGAGGCATATAGTTTTTGATAATTAAAAAAATTTTACAATTATTAAATCCTTATTAATGAACAATGAATCGTTTAGAATTCATTAAAACAAGCATGATAAAATAATTTAAAGAAGTTAAAATCAATCTTTTCTGCATAAATAGACTTGCTAACAGTCTTATTTATCAGTACTGCCGCTTTACGGTTCTCTCGATATCATAAGATTGAGAGAATGATTTTGATCACATTAAAAGTTATTAATTGAATAATTAATCGATTCATAAAACAAAATTCGATACCGAGGATGGTAGATGCCACTTGCACTAATCTATCCTAATCCTTCTATATGGCTCACTAAAGTAATCACTAATTACGACAACATTTTCAACTTCATTAAATATCATATTCGACTGATTATTAATTTCATTTAATATTTTCGGTTCATTAATTATAAATTCCTTATTTGCAAAATCTTTGCTATTTACAATAGGGAGAGATTATGGAGGTTATTAAGCATACAAATATAATTTCTTCATTAGTATTATTCATTTAAATAGCTTTGTTATGAGATAGAAATATCACTTATATCGATATATTTAGATTTGAAAATACTGCTGTTTAAAGAGCACACCAAATAGTATAAAACAAAATCAGCATGTGATATCGAGAAGTTGGCTGCTAATCAATTAGGGCCAAACTATTTTCCTGTTATTCAATTCTATGCAATTAAATTTATGATTGTTGAAAGATTTCTTCAAGATTGGAACATCTGTTTGTTGTCATTGTTTGAGTAGCAATTTAGTCGACGATAATTGCATTTTTCAAAAACTGTGATCATAAATTTGGTTGGTAACAACTAACTAAGCAAAGTATTTCAGTCTATGATGGCATAAATTTTTTAAGAGCTGAAAATAGTTGCAATACTTCTCGCAGTAGAAAGAAACGTTTCACTTTCCTTTTTTTGTATAATTGATATGGCGAAGATTTATAGTAACAGAGATATTAGTTATGATAAATATATAAAAAGTATTACCGCAACAAAGATATTAGTTATGATAAATATATAAAAAGTATCACCGCAAAATGCAAGCGGACATAGAACCTGATATATTAAATAAAACATTTGTTATTATTGGATAAATATATTTTGTCAATTTTAATTCTATAAAATAACCCATTAAACTATGATTGACTTAAATAAAGCTCATTGATTTTGAATTTTAGCATCGCAATCGATCAATTTTAGTAGGAGAAGTTAAGATATGATTATGTGATTCTGTTGAATAATGTTGTGAATTTTTCTAGAAGGAAATTCTTTTGAGGGAGAGCTTTATGTGGTACAGTGAACAGTTAATAATTTAATGGAGAGATTTATTCTTCTTCATATTATAATAAGAATTGGATAATTTGATTGCTTTTCTTTACTCGTTGATCCGAGAGTTGAGGAATTGGTTTAGAAGATCGTTTTGTTCTACAACGTTGAGTACACTTTGTCATCCGATCCTTTCGAGTTGGGCGGTTCACGGTGAGCACTGTTTATAGTAAATAGACAATTGATCATTTTGTACATGAAACTGATAGAGAACAAAAGAATCGACTGTCAGTCGATTCTTTGTTTATAGTAAATAGACAATGGAGCAGATAGTTAACAAAGAATTACTTAAATATATAATTAGATAAAGCCGATTGTAAAAGGGGAATTATTAATCATTTACAAGTATTCTTTAGAATAATGAATTGAAATATTAAACAAAGTATATCTTATCATTTGGCTGAAAATATTTGAGACAAAAAAGATTTTCATAACATAGATTTCACAAATACAATGATACTTTATATATTGTAAGGTTATTTCGGGTCATCGACAGGTGTTGCATGGAATTGTAATTGTTATCAGGATGGCTGATAGAGCGATAATTCCTATTAAAGCGAAGAAAACGAACTGCAGCATAGATTCCATCAAAGAACGTTTTCTAGCAATTGTAATACCACGAATAGCAATACCGTGACGAGTTCCAACTAATGGATATTTGCTTTCTGTAACGGTATTCGTAGAATAAAGGAAATTTAATGCTGTAATGCTTAAGAATCTCAAAAGTGATCTGAAAATTGATATCACATTATCTGCACATAGCTTAATATGAAAAGTGATATAATATGAATTTGATATCATATCAATTTGAGCTGATAGGAACATATTAACTAGAGTATTTACAGTTAATTTTCAAACATATTCAACTTTCAGATAGTTGTCAACATTCTATCTATTTAATTCTATTTTTGGAATTCTTGCTCGTAGTAGCAGAAATTATGCATGGAACCATGGAGGACAACATATTAAATGATAACATACTATATTATTATCTGTCAAATTTGTTTTTCAAAAATTAGAAGAAATTATAAATTCATTCAATTTCAGTATGCAACTTCATATTTGACAAGTTTATTCCGGTTTTATTCGAAATGAATTGTATACTAAAATTTTAACTACCTGAAAAATGAAAATTGATAGGAAACTTACCAAAATAAGCAACATCATTAGGTGACTCGAGAACTGTCAACACTCCAATTACATCATATGATGGGAAATGATCTTCGTTACTCTTCGAAGTTTTCAGCGTAATATCTCTTTTTGTAAAGAAGTTTCGTTTTGCTCGTCGTTGATACGGGCTGGAATGTGTAGAGAGAAATAATATTAAGCTAACAAATAAAAATATAATTCTAAAATACTCCGGAAAATTTTGTAATGTAAGAGGCAGAAATCAAATTCTCTAGCTTACCTAGGTTCTACCTGTATTTCTTCTTCACGATTCCTCGATAATGGTGGTTGTATGGATGGTGGAAATGCATTACCGCTCTCCAAATAAAATCCATAATCGTCAGTTGCCGAAATGAAAAACGCTTCTGCTTCCGGTAATTTTGTAACAGCTGTTATTGCTATTGTTGTTGTTTCTGTTGATATTTCTTGTGAAGCAGGTGCTATTGATGATCCCAAGGCAAATTCACCACCACCTATGGACGTGTTTTTCTTTGTATCACCTGTGGACTTGTTTCTCTCTGTATCACCTGTAGACTTGTTTCTCTCCATATCACGCTCTTTATTTCTTGCACATTGGACATATGGCTGGAAACAAAAGCGACATATTACCAAATTTGGAATCTATTATATATTTTAAGTTAAATTTGCTAAAAAATTCGAAATATAGCGGTATAATTTGAATTATCACTTATTCAAATTATTCTCTTATTTGCGAGAAATTTAATGAATTTGATAAATCTCAAAAAAAAAATGATAGTACAAATAACTGCCAGATACATGACAACTATCGTTTGATGGTGAACAAATTTGAATTTGACATTTAAAACGGCTTATTGCTTTTCCAGCAAACTTAAAAACATGCATCTCCTGAAAAATGTTAATTTCGATACTACAGTTTCTTATAATCATTTTAATTACGGAATTTTATGCTAAGATCCAGTGCCGTAATTGTTGAAAATTTAACAGTCGTGATTAGTTTTGTTACAACAAGCTTTTAAATTAATTTAAATGGAAGGTGGTGATGTTAGATGTTCAATTTATCGTTGTTGCAATTTCAAAAATCAATTCCATTTTTACTTGTGAAGCTGTTTTTCGATCGAGTGAATATACAGGAGTTTCCAGAATATATTGATCAACACCACACCTGTAAAAATCACATTTTAATCACTTTCATCTTCTTCCTAAGTATCCCAAACTTTTAGGAAGATGAATTACTAAAAGATAGAAATGAATTTCTTGTTAGAAGGACTTAAAATAATTCTTGATGAGATTGGTAATCTTATTAAATCAGAAAACGGAGAAACAATTTTTCATATGTCAAATTTGTGCAAAATTTTATTACCCATTATTACTGATAATTAGAATATGATTCCCTTCGCCATCTTCCACATAACAATTTTGTACCAATATTTGAAAGTTTTCTGAAATATTTCAAAAACTGAGATTTAGAATCAATATTTCAACAAATAGTTATACTACTTACCACCATAACATTTCCAAACATGATAAACAGTTTCGCCAAGTAACGCATAACGTATAGGCGGTCCATCGATTGAATTCCGCCTGATCTGATAACTACATCTTGGTGCAACAAAGTTAAATTGTGGCTCCAAGATAGATGGTGCCGAATTGCTGGAAATTTTTACTTAACTTATTTGTTATTCAACAATACGAATATATAAACAGTCTATTTTATGCTCAAAACTATATGAATAAAAATTATACATTTTAAATAACTTAATTTTAATTAAGAGATGCCAAAATGTCGTACCTTACTGAAAGTGATTGCTGAAGATCATCGATGATACCTGTATTCCGGTAAACACATTGTATGCAATAGGAACGATCACTATCAGTGATGAAAAATGGATGTAACTGTACGGTTATGCAAATTCGATAAATAGTTGATGCCGGATCTTTCTGAAGTTGCTTGAAGCATATAATAGAGAGAGAAAAAGAGATTCCGTCATTTTTTCTTCAATAATTTTAGAATTGATATTGATATTTTCGACAAAGCAATTCGATACCGTTTGCTCAATCGTCATACCACATTTGCCAAGTGATAAAGTAAGTTGACTTGTACTTCTAGAGGAACAATTCGGATCACTAATATAATCTCCCGCATAGATATGAGACGGATCTGATTTACTCGTTCGAATCTAAAATGAGCAAAATTTAATTTTTTAAAATACTACAAAAAAGAGAACAAATAATAGAAAAAAATAAAATACATCATTTTGATTGTTCAGATACGATGAAAATAATAATAAATTCATTTATCGTTTGCAAAATTTCTAAAACAAAATGTTTAATAAAATTGAAATGATTTTTGCAGTAAAACTCTTTCATAAGGCAATCGAAAAAGCAATCGATCCATGCATTCTATCTGCTATCTTCTGATTAAACTGATCGAATGATAATAGACGATCGCAAAAAAATAGTTTGACATGTAGAAATGAAACAGAAACGGTATTTCACAATTTATTTATTTTTAAATGCGAACATTTAAATCATACATTTAAATTTGCGTGAGAAATGATTTTTACAACTTTAAAAGGTTCAATGAAAAATTCATATAGTTAAAATAAGAATGTTAGTAAATTTAAGAAAGGCAATCAGAATCAGGAATTCCTGAAACAAAAAATTATACTTATACTTATTATACTTTATATTATACTATTATATTATACTTTTATTATACTATTATATTATATATTATACTTTTATTATACTATTATATTATACTTGTTTATAGAATTAAAATAAATATCATTCAGTTTTTATATTCTTATCTTTCCATGCATAAAGCTGGAGATTTCTTGACAACAAATGAATATAATTAATTATTCTTTTAGTAGAATCATATATGTTAAATGATGAAATTATAAATTTATTTCTTAAAATTCAAATAAAATACCTGAATTAGAATTTCTTCCGGTTCACATGTAACAATCGGTTTTTCGAGAGTTATATTTGGGTACATTATACTGATGCAACTATCGTTCAGAATCTATAATTTGGACATTATTAAGGAAGAAAGATAAATTTGATATCTCTATTCCTACATATAGCATTAGCTGGTTGCTATATTATTCAATTAATAACTTACTGTTAAAATCACCAGCAGAATGAAATTTGAATGCATGTTGATATTTCCTAAAAATTTGCATGCTTTCAATTAAAAGAAAACATTGAGTAATCAGCAAAGTAAATTTTTAACAGGTATTAACTAATAAAGCAAACAAACAAATTGATATTATTGTTGTTGTCACTGCAATAAGCAAAATAAATTTCGATGTTAACGTTAAATTCAAAACTGTCAAAAAATGAGTCATTGGCTTAATTAATGCAATTTAATAGTTAGAATTAAATTACTTGAGTAAATTTGTTGACAAATACAAATTTCTACTTGAAATTAATATAATTTGACTCTAACTTAGACCAAAGTAATGTTCCATCAACATATATCAATGTTATCGTAGGAAATGTAGAAAAAATTCAGCGAAGTCTTTTTATAAAATCTTAATCGATTAAAGCAGTTTTTCCGAAGCACTCTTCAGGAAAAATTTCACTTCAGAAATAAACCTCCGATTTGTTTAAACTCAAGTGGAAATGAGCCTTTATCATTTTATTTCGATTGTAGCGATATATAAACATTACAACCTGTTAATTTTACTATTATAATAAATTATTTGAAGAAGTTATGAGCACTTCTATTAAAAACAAGAATCTCTTCATCACCTTTTCATAAAATATTCATCCCTCAGCTCTTCATCCTTTCTATATTTTGCTGAAGTACCAATATCCGATATGTACAACACCTTTTTTTTGGTCATAATTTTACTATAAATTTCTGAAATCTGGTTGCATTATTCAATCAAACCGGAATTTCTCAAATTAGTCATTTTTGAATTGCAGAAAAACAGTAAACGATTCAACCATTTCTTTTAAAATTATATTCATATGAAGAATTCATGAAACCATTCTAAAGAAGAGATCCGTTATTTTGAATTCTTGATTTCTGAATTGGAAATAATTCGAGGCAAAATTTGATGTTTTCACGATACAGATGAATAAACATTGATAAAATTTCAAGGTTAAAAAGAATTGATGAAAATATCAAACTTCGTGGTAATTTAAAGAGATGAAATGTTATTGATACGTTTAAAGAATATTTGATACAGAATATTTCAATTTGAATGGAAGAGAGTTAAAGTTGTATGAAATCTTCTGAACTTCTTCTCAATCAATGATGGATATTTGTGTGCTACGAAAGTTGCAAATGCATAAAAAGAGAAAAAATTTTTTAACAAAATATCTTGCTAAATAAACTTTTACGAAAAATTAATTCCATGCTTGTTCAGAAATCTATCAGATTCAGAATCTTACAGTCATCTTCCTAAAAAAGCTCATCCAAAAACTTCATCCGTGGTTTCTAGATAAGCTTTTTCTCTTCCTTTTTCTTCATTTCATCCTAACGATTACTTTTTATCTCGAATTTTCCAGCAACAAATGCCGATCGCTGGTAGTGAACAGAAATTTGAAAAATATTTAAATAAACTATTGCATAATATTAAATGGAGAGGAGAATATGCGAAAAGATTTTTCTCTGCAGAATTTGAGAAAGAGTGATTTATAAAGAATGTTGATGAGCTTAATTAAATTTATCAACACACTTTCAGTAATTAAGGATAGGATAAGTTTAAAGAAATAAATCAGAAAGAATGATGAAGTCATGAATAAAAATTGAACATACAATTTGCTAACATTATACTGCTTATCATATCAGATAATATTAGCAAAAAATTCATGGTATCGGATAAATGAATCCTTCTTTTATATTATATCAAATTTGTAAGTGTTTTCTACTTTATTGTCTTTCGCTATTATTCAAATGGAATGATTCAGGTATTATTTTTAATTGAAGTATATTATCAAAAATTGATAAAACATTATATCATCCTTTGCTTCTTCAAATTTAGTAGCATTTAACGAAGCTAAAAGATAAATTGAAGTTCTCAGAAATTATGCAAATTTTTCTCTGGAAAGAATATATTCTTTTTTGCTGGCAAAGAAATTACAATTTAAGTCTTGTTTCTAAATTTCATTTAAAGAAGCGGTTCGATGCTTCCTAATGTCACCAATAAAGTTAATATCACAAAATTTTTCCCGAGGTATGAGGAATTATATGATATACCCATAAACTGTATCATAAAATACTGTCTTTAATATTGCGAAGAAATAATGAAGTGAAGTAATTTTAGTTTTCCTTAAATTTATTTTTTGAAATTATTTTACTGAAAAAAATTAGTAGCTGCTTGTAAAAGTATCATCGAAGTGATGCTTGAAAATAATTGCAACGTTACGCAAAATATTCCGGTCTAAAACCGGAACCAACAAAAAAAGGAAGTTGACAGGTGTCACTTGAATGAAAAAATAAGAGGTTATATTTAGTGAGCAAAGATCAAAGAGATAAACTACAAAATCTTTTGTTGCCAAGAAATACCTTCTTAGAAATAATTTGGATATTTCGTTCGTTTCCCCAAATTTGAAATTTTGATGAAAATTTCCGCGAACTATAATTACTAATTAGAATTAAGCTTGAAAGCCGTGCTAATTAATGATAGTTTATTGCTTTAGGGCTAAAGAATGGCAGTAGCACTATCAGAGCAAACCGAAGGTAAGTTTATTGTAATTGTATTAGCATTAGATAATTGTTAATTAATTAATTGTTGAAACTTACCATTTTGTAGGTTTTTGATTTTCTGGACAATAACTTTTAATTGATTGTTGGCATTATTATCAACTGCCCTAATTAGTTCAATTATAATTTCAGAATTTTATTACTTTGAAATATTCAGGCTTTTAATTTATTCTATAAATTGTCACAAAATAAAATTGATCTTATTCCTTATTTCTAAAACGAAAAAAGTTTATAAAATGATGCAATCATATTTGATAAATTAAATTCAACTTGGGCAAGTTTATTTTCATTCAACCTAAACAATAACAACGTCTGTAATTAATAATAATAATAAAACTAATTATATTATTGATTCTATAAAAAAACAATAGATAGTAATTAATAATTTCAAAATTTTATTCCAATCATTTTATCATTTATTTAAAATATTGATAATAATTTTCATCATATTTGCTAAATTATTTTGATATCAAAGAGTGAATTTTTATACTTTTAAATTTATTTGTTTAAATATTTTAGCATCGATGAATATTTTAGTATCGATACAAATAATATTATCTATGCAGGTTTCTTTGTTTTATTTTTACTCTATAAGTTAATCATTATTCAATATCATGATTAATTTTTCCATTATTTAATAGTTGAAGTATTGTGCAAAAAATATAACGCAATCTATCTATCATTCATCTGAGCATAGTGGTTTGTTATTTCCGGATTGCTGAAGTATTATTTGTAAAGAATATAACACAATCTATCTATCACTCATTTAAGCATAGTGGTTTGTTATTTTCGGATTGCTGGAATAATCAATTTACAGGTATCCCAAATGAGATTGCAACAAAATTAGTGTTAATGATAATGGGATTTATAATTACAATGATCTTTCTGTGTATATTTTTGGTAATTGCCGTATGTATTTACTACAAAGGAAAAAGCGAAGAATTTCTCTTTATGGATAAAAAAAGTTCGAAGATTGAAAAAGGTAAAATTATAAAATTAACAAACTATATATTTGACATAAAAATAAATTGGAGAATCTTCCATAAGCTTCTTGATGTTAGCATTTGCAAAAAAATTAATTGCTACAGGTAAAATTTTCATTGAAGAAATCATTTTCAGATCATTCACCATATATCATAACACCGGAACAGAAGATCACTCAACAAATGTTAACTGCCCAGGTAATATCAGAAGGAAAGAATTGAAAATTTATCGAATTCAAAAATTGAAATCACTTTTGAGAAGAAATTATTTCATAATGATATTACATTTCTAAAGTTTGTCAAATATTAACAGATGGTTACACCGATCGAATGTTCGGTAAATGATATCGCTCGATTATTACGATATATCGCTTTATATGGTGAATTTACAGAAGATGAAATTTATCGAACACCAAAAGATTTTATCCACTTGGTAACACGTGGTAAAACAAAATTCGATATCGAAGATGGTAGGTGTCGTAATTTTTTTTCTTGCAAATAAATTATCCTAATCCTTTTATATAATTACTAAAGTAATTACATCATTAATTATTACATCATATATCAGCTTTATTAAATATTATATTCGACTTAACATTAATTTCTTTGAATATTTTCGCTTCAAAAATTACAATTTCTTTATTTGCAAATATTTTTGAATCTATTTGTAATGAAATAGATTTTGGGAGATTATTGAAATACTTTTGATCAAAATTCTATAATAAAATATGAAATTCATATAAACATTGTAGTAGTAATACCAAATGTAAATTACAGTAATGCAAATTACAGAATCTAAAAAAGAACACAAAGTAATGCCAAAACTTGGATCACAACTGCATTTGCCTAGCGATCAGGAAAATCATTTTTCAATATTGTTATTTTAATGCATTGATGTTTTTCGAAGAAAACATTATGAAATGTAGTATGAAAGAAATAGGCAAAAAAATTATAAATTTTTAAGCAATATAATATTTCTTCCTAAAAATGTATTAACTTTTAGACTTCTACTGCAAGAAGGAAATCGAGAAAGTAAAGTTATCCAATTTCTTGCATCATTTAGAAGACCGCTTAACTTTTTATCTTCTATCTCAAAATTACGTTTTCGTTGAAAATTTGCCTATCAGTTCTATCTGACACACTCTAAGATAATTGACAATTTTCCAAATTTAAAGAAGTTTTGTATTTCTCACTAAAGATAAGAGAGATTAGATAAACTTCAACATTTATTTTATTTTGCAGGCGCATGCAACAGCAACAAGACATTTCATCTTTTAAACCAAGTCTGTGTGTTATATTTCTAAAATTTTTTACTTCATCATATTAGTAGCTTCAACATTGTAATAAGAGAAGGTTAAATTAAAGTTTTTGTTAATTATATGATTATTGATTTGTTTTCATGCTTTTATTTTAAGGGAAAAAAGCTCGTAGAAAAGAATTATACGACGAAATGGATCGTGAGAGTGGCGTAAAAGGGAGCTCAAAAAAGGGTCGTTTGGCGGTAAGTAATTCAATTCTGGGAAATGCTAACTGAAACTGATAATGCAGGTGAGAATGAAATTGAAATGAGGAGGAATTTATTTTGAAAAATAGCGAATGAGATTTGAAATAATAAAACTAGAAAATTAATGTTGCAAATTTATAAGGGAAGAGGAAGAAAGGATTGATAGTTAGTTTGACTGGTTAATGAATTAACGATTAATTACTCATATGAAGTGATAGAAATTTTCAGAAGAGAGATAGGAAAAAGAAAAGTGGAAAGAGAAAACATTCAGAGTTGGTATTTAATTTCATATTTAATTTCCAATATTCAAAATATTCTTCAGTGAAAATTATCAGGCGCTGTATATTTGTAGACGCTAATCATTTCTTTTTTTTTTTAAATTTACTTCAATCTTTATTACCTGTAATTTAATTAATTAAAGATCAAAACTAAGACGCCAGCTGGCTGAAGAATCACCACATATGCATGAAAAACTGTCAAATAAAAGTTCGTTCATTAATCCTTTATCTCTAACTTTGTGTGCTATTTCATGTGATAGAGAAAAAGATAGTATTTTTCATGCAATTAGATTTTCTAATTTTACAATTAATTTCTTAGAGTAATAGATTTAATTGAATTGTAAACTTAATTGCAGAACTGCGGAGAAAAGATAGAAAGTCGAAAAGACATCGAAAAGTACATAGTCATCTGAAGAAAGAAAATGGCAATAATTTCAGTAATTACCTATCAAACTATTACAGAACTAATGAATTGACCATTTTTTAAAAGAATAAACGACCTCTAAGGAAATTTATATTAATTGTTTTTCAGCTAAATTAAAATTAAAAGGTGAAAAGCGAAAGCATTTGAAGAAAAGTAAACATCACAAGAAATAACTTTCGGTGATTTCTATTCGATAAATATTACTGTTTGTGGTTAAAATAATTTTTACGAATAATAAAATCATTTTTTGACAGAAATTTCGAAATGAATTTATTGTTATTTACATTTTACACATCGATTAATTAAGTGCTATGTGATTATGTTGGAAGGTAAAATTCTTATTTACTTTAATTTATCCCTGTATAAACCGTTCTTCCGACTGCCTTTCGGAATTTCATCCCAAATATTTGTACTTTTTTTGAATCTTTTTGGTTGTCGAACACTTTATATAGAGCTGAATTTCTGAACAACGATACAAAAAGTATCGTATCTTCTAAAAGTAACTTATCTTTGCGATGATTAGATAGTGAAAGCAAATGGCAACAGTATCTTCCAACAGGATTGAAGTTCAAATTCTTTATTTTCTATTTCAATCGATTCAGTACATTTTCAATATTTCTCTTCAAGCTGTTTGGAAATTTTGTTGTAGCTAATCAATTACAATATAAAATTGTTGGAATCAATTGGTAGATGAATATTGCGATATTTTCAACAGATAAAAACATTGATAGATGAATACTGCGATATTTTCAACAGATAAAAACAATCATCAATGTTAATATTTGCTATACTTGCAAGCCAAAGAAAATTATCCCATGAATGAAATTTTCTCATTGAAATAAATTTTGCTAAGTGCATGATAAAGTTTTAGGTTGTTATCAATTAACAACAGCTTCAATTCAGAAATATCAAATATTGAACTATGGATGAAATGCAAAAAAAAATTTATGCCGTAAATTTGCATTTGTGATTGACTATAAAATAATCAAATAATCATTTCATAAGAATAATTTCTCATTTATCAGTTGTTTGATAACTCTCCAAAATTTTCATTACTCAAAATTTCGAAAAGAAATGTCCGATAAAGAATATTTGGAGAGCACAGAACGAGAAGGCGTTTGCCCAAATTATTTATGGTACTTGATTAGTAGTTTCGGTATAACAGTGTTCATCATTATATGTCTATTAGCTTATTTGATTATGTATTCCGATCATTTCATGTGGGCATTACGACCAAAGCCGGTTAGTTAATTAATTGAAAATTAGAGATTATTGAAATTGCTATATGAATTTCTAATTTTATTAATATTCAACATTACAAAAATATTACATGATTTTAGAAGATAAAGAAAAGTAAAAGTAAAAGTAAAAGTAAGAGTAAAAGCAAAAGAAGGAAACGTTCAAGCTTTCAAGGTGATTCAACAATAATGAGAGGTAGTTGTTTATAACATTTGCTTCTAATATTTATTGTAAGAAATAAAACATATATATATATACATATATATATAAGTATTATTGTTGATTAATTATTTTAATTAGTTGTATTGTTTAATAGCTAAAGAAAAATTGAATTTTTTAGGAACCAAAACGGCTGATGAAAGCCAAGCAAGCACACGTAAAACTGAGAATCTGACAACAACATAATTATTGCATTTGCAAAAAAGAAAATTCATTGTTTAGCTCGTTTAATACATATTCATATTGATGTATTATGACAACCATATGGAGAAACTTTTATTTGTGAATTGTATTCAGAAGCATAAAAATTTTAATTGTATTTAGAAGTCAGAAGTATCCTAGTATCTTACTATAAATTGCCTCGGTTTACGACAAGAAATGTAAATTGAGATTGTATTATTTAAAATTATTTATTTATGGTTAAATTGCTAAAATGCAATTGACTGAATGAAAGTTGCTTGCATTATTCATTCTTTCAATTCAAGTTTTGGAAATCTCTTTCTTTAATAAATCATTAATTTTGAATATCATTAAATAAATTTTGCCCCCTTTTAGAAAATGATAAGATATCATTTATTTGCTGCATATTCATATCATTTAAAATAATTGAATTAATAAAAACAAAAGGTTTTTAGAGAAAGTAAGTTATCGATTTGAAAAAAGATAAAATTCAAAAATTTTGAAAGACAAAGAAATTGTCTCGAAATTAATTTAATTTATAGAATCATGTGAAAATATATCTATTGGATAAATGATCACAAATTTTTGAATTCTGATGTACTAACTTAATGAATTGCAATTTGTTGTTCCTTCCGACATGAATTCAATTCACTAATGCTTATAAACTAACAGATAAATCAAACACCGCGGTGGATTTCTTAAGACCATTCTAGAAGTTGTAAAAATGGAATGGATTCAAAACTTAAAACTTAATCATAGCAAAGAAAAAAAAAGAAAGATCGCACCACATATCGGAAAGACAAATGATCGAATGATAAAAATAAATATCAATTTAATATCTCTTTGATAATGAATCGTTACAACACCTTTTAATATTATTTATTCAATGAACGCACAACGTCAAAACACAAAAGGAATTATTTTTCCAACGCAAATGTTTTTGATTTAAGTTTAAGGTACTCCGTACACAATCGTAAATCATATTCATAATCACTATCACCTTCATTTTCAAGTTTTCCACGCTTTGCACTGCTCACCAGCATTTTCTTCAGTAACATTTCTTTCAGTATATTAGTGTCCAATGGATCGTTTGTTGACTTCATCGGAATCTGATGTGCAAATCGTTTTGCTTTGAACAAATTATTATAGCCTATAGAATTTGATAATCCAGCTTCATGAGCACTCATTTCTTGTTTTAAATTTCCTTTTGCTACATCCGTTGCTGTGACCTCTTCTGCATTCATTTTTTCGATCTCTTTTCCATTGTCTTCTTTGACCTCTATATTATCTGTTTGCAGGACTTGCATTTCATCTAATGCGGAACGTTTCACATCTCCTATTTTTGCTTCCGTAACGATAGCATGCAGTAGTAATAGTGTTACAAGAATCCAGCTTTTAACTCTTCCGTACATTTTCGAAATTCAAAAGCAACGGTACCACTTTAATGGGACTCCTTATAATCACCTCAAAACAATAAAAGAGTTGAAACAAACAATTGCGATCGACCGGCTGCAACTATTCGGAAATGAAAGTGAGGAGTAATTCGGAAGAAATCACTTTTATGAAATTCTTTTGTGTGACAGAAAACCAAGAATGGTAATCCTAAAAATTTATGCAAATTTCTCCATTATTCCGGTATAAGCATTTATTTGTTTATTTTAAAATATGGCTGTAACTGAGCCAATGTAATTTTTATGCTAATTTTTCTTATGCTAATTTTTCTGATTGAAATATAACAAGAGCTAAAACTTTTAATTTATATCATCTAAAAACAAAAAACAATTTCTTTCGTTAAGATTTAATGAATCCAACGAATTTCCTTTTCTTCCAATTACCGAACTTTCAATCATAAACGTTTTTCAATTATTTTGCAACTAATTTACTATGTCGTATGCTTTAATTTTAATTTGTTGGTTTCAGATAAATTAAACTTGGATTATTATTTGGCACATAATTGCAATATAAGTTGAATAATGAATAAGTTGAAGTTAACCCGGTGAAAGTTAATTTCTTCTTTAGGATAATTGTGAGTGATTTATCAATGGTATAATTAATGATATAATCGATCACTCCGAAGATTCTCTTTACTTGTTGATCTGAGCGGATATACTTTGGGACTACTTGTTGAAGTACTTATAGAAGGTAATTGTAGTGTAGTATAACATCAAAATGTTTGGTGATAGTTTAAATTTAAAGTGGAGCACATGTTCATTCAGCACTCATTATATATATCTTTTTATATGTACATATAATATACATATATTATAAGAAATACTTTGCGATTACTTGTTGAACTTGTGTTTCTTGAGATCTTGGTATATATATATATATATATATATATATAGAGAGAGAGAGAGAGAGAGAGGGAGAGAGAAGTGGTTTACAACAAAATACCACTTAACAAAATCTTACCGGATAGAAGGAAAAATATGTGATCATAAAAAAGGAGAGCTGTATAAAGGAAAATCTTTTGGCAGCACAACAATTGAAGCATAACTGGTTATCAGACCGGAAACATTTGAATGTAAATTACAGTAATTTAGCCATTAAAAGAAGAAAGAGCTAAATGATTCATTAATTTTTCGACATTGGAATCACATATCTTTGAATTCTGATGAACTTAACTTAGTGATTAGCAGTTTGTTGTTCCTTCCCGTATGAATTCAATTCACTAATGGTTATAAACTAACAGATAAATCAAGCACTGCGGTGGATTTGTTAAGACGATTCTAGAAGTTGTAAAAATTGGATTCAAAACTTAAAACCTAATCATGAACAAGCAAAAAAAGAAAGACCGCACCACAAATCAGAGAGATAAATAATCGAATGATAAAAATAAATATCAATTTGATATTTCTCTGATAATGAATCGTTGCAACACCTTTTAATATTATTTATTCAATGAGCGCAGATTGATTACAACGTCAATAATAGAAATTTTACGCTAATTGTTCATAGTTATCTTTGCCGTGGCAAATGCATTGCTAAGTCAATTTTGGTAGTTTCAGTTTTTCCATTGGAATTCATAAGTTATTTTACACCACTACCCTCTTAGCTCTTCTGAGGTGAACTGATCCGAAAAACAGAATATTCGGAATTTGAAACTTTGCATTCAGATATTCGCCTTATTGAAAATATCCATTTTTTACAGTAAAGCTTTTCAACGCAGAAAATTTGTTAAAACCTTGCTATTTTCATGCAACGTTGTGTGGGATAACAAAAAATGATATATCATTATTGTATAAATATTACAGAAATATTTTACATCTGAAATGATAAGCGAAACAGATGATTTTTTGCTACATTAATGTAGTAGTCAATCATTCTGATCAGAATAAATTAAAACAAAAGGAATTATTTTTCTACCGCAAACTTTTTTGATTTAAGTTTAAGGTACTCCGTACACAATCGTAAATCATATTCATAGTCACTATCACCTTCATTTTCAAATTTTCCACGCTTTGCACCGTTCACCAGCATTTTCTTTAGTAACATTTCTTTCAATATGTTAGTGTGCAGTGGATCGTCTGTTGACTTCATTGGAATCTGATGTGCAAAACGTTTTGCTTTGAACAAATTATTGTAGCCTATAGAATTTGATAATCCAGCTTCTTGAGCACTCATTTCTTGTTTTAAATTTCCTTTTGCTACATCCGTTGCTGTGACCTCTGCTGCATTCATTTTTTCGATCTCTTTTCCATTGTCTTCTTTGACCTCTATATTATCTGTTTGCAGGACTTGCATTTCATCTAATGCGGAACGTTTCACATCTCCTACTTTTGCTTCCGTAACGATAGCATGCAGTAGTAATAGTGTTACAAGAATCCAGCTTTTAACTCTTCCGTACATTTTCGAAATTCAAAAACAACGGTACCACTTTAATGGGACTCCTTATAATCACCTCAAAACAATAAAAGAGTTGAAACAAATGAGTGCGATCGACCGGCTGCAGCAATTCGGAAATGAAAGTGAGGAATAATTCTGAAGAAATCACTTTTATGAATTTCTTTTGAGTGATAGAAAACTAAATGGTAATCCTGAAAGTTTATTCAAATTTCTCCATTATTCCGGCAGAAGCATTTATTTGTTTATTTTAAAATATAACTGTAACTGAACCAATAAAGAACTTATGCTAATTTTTCTGATTGAAATATGATAAGAGCAAAAACTTTTATTTTTGTGTCATCCAAACATTCATATGCCTTTTTTAAATACTTAAAAAAATTTTGTTGCATGTAAACTTCAACATAGTTGAGGAGAAATCTGAAGATTACTTATTCATTCCCCCATAGAGAAAGTAATATATTCGATCTATTAATATGGTCATCTATTACGAATTACACATAAAGCTGGCTCTTTATTGAGCATGAGCCATTTGTAATGCCTAATTTTTCTTAATCCAAGTGAGCTAATTAGCTACTAAATGAGATCGAAAATTTTAATAAAATGGGTGATTGAAGCGACGAAAGACGAAGTACACGTGGAGAACGTGTAGATGCGTAATTAGAGAGAGAGAAAGAGAATCTGAAGTGAATCTGAAGTCAAAATCTGACAGAAACATCTTTATATAACTAACAGAAAGAAAAATGTGCTCAAATAAATTCTTGCTTGGGAGGTTGGAGGACAAAAAATAATTTCTTTCGTTAAGATTTAATGAATCCGATGAATTCCGCTTTCTCCCAATTATCGAACAATCAATCACAAAGGTTTTTTAATTATTTTGCAACTAATTTACTATGTCTATTATCTTTTAATTTTAATTTGTTGATTTCAGATATATAAATTTGGATTATTACTTGACATATAACTGAAATATAAGTTGAATACTGAATAAGTTGAAATTAACCCGGCGAAAGTTAATTTCTTCGTTAGGAAAGGTTTCTTCTCGGATGCTATAATTGTGAGTGATTTTTCAACGATACAGTTAATGATATAATCGATCACTCTGAAGATTCTTTTCACTTGATGATCTGAGCGGATATACTTTTGGACTACTTCTTTAAATACTTATAATCGGTAAGTGCAGTATAATATCAAAACATTTGGAGATAAATTAAATTTAAAGCAGAGCACATGTTCATTCAGCACACATTGTATATATAAAGAGAGAGAGAGAGAGAGAGGTGATTTACAACAAGTACTTACCTAACAAAATCTTCCGGATAGATGGAAAGATATGTGATCATAAAAAAGGAGAGCTGTATAAAGGAAAATCTATTAACAGCACGACAATTGAAATATAACTGGTTTTCAGACCGGAAACATTTGAATGTAAATTTACTGTTAAAGAGCTAAATGATTCGGTAATTTTTCGACATTGGAATCACTAATTTTTGAATTCTGATGTATTAACTTAATGAATTGCAATTTGTTTTTCCTTCCCACATGAATTCAATTCACTAATGGTTGTAAACTAACAGACAAATGAAGCATTGCGGTGGATTTGTTAAGACGATTCTAGAAGTTGTAAAAATGGAATGGATTCAAAACTTAAAACTTAATCATAGCAAAGCAAAAAAAGGAAAGATCGCACTACATATCAACACCTTTTAATATTATTTATTCAATGAGAGCAGATTGATCACAACGTCAATAATAGAAATTTTACGCTAATTGTTCATAGTTATCTTTGCCGTGGCAAATGTATTGCTAAGTCAATTTTGGTAATTTCAGTTTTTCCATTGGAATTCATAAGTTATTTTACACCACTACCCTTTTAGCTCTTCTGAGGTGAACTGATCCGAAAAACAGAATATTCGGAATTTGAAACTTTGCATTCAGATATTCGCCTTATTTGAAAATTTCCATTTTTTACAGTAAAGCTTTTCAACGCAGAAAATTTGTTAAAACCTTGCTATTTTCATGCAATGTTGTGTGGGATAACAAAAAATGATATATCATTATTGTATAAATATTACAGAAATATTTTACATCTGAAATGATAAGCGAAACAGATGATTTTTTGCTACATTAATGTAGTAGTCAATCATTCTGATCAGAATAAATTAAAACANCGCCTTATTTGAAAATTTCCATTTTTTACAGTAAAGCTTTTCAACGCAGAAAATTTGTTAAAACCTTGCTATTTTCATGCAATGTTGTGTGGGATAACAAAAAATGATATATCATTATTGTATAAATATTACAGAAATATTTTACATCTGAAATGATAAGCGAAACAGATGATTTTTTGCTACATTAATGTAGTAGTCAATCATTCTGATCAGAATAAATTAAAACAGAAGGAATTATTTTTCTACCGCAAACTTTTTTGATATAAGTTTAAGGTACTCCGTGCACAATCGTAAATCATATTCATAATCACTATCACCTTCATTTTCAAGTTTACCACGCTTTGCACCGTTCACCAGCATTTTCTTTAGTAACATTTCTTTCAATATGTTAGTGTGCAGTGGATCGTCTGTTGACTTCATCGGAATCTGATCTGCAGAACGTTTTGCTTTGAACAAATTATTGTAGCCTATAGAATTTGATAATCCAGCTTCTTGAGCACTCATTCCTTGTTTTAAATTTGTTTTGCTATATCCGTTGCTGTGGCCTCTGCTGCATTCATTTTTTCGATCTCTTTTCCATTGCCTTCTTTGACTTCTATATTATCTGTTTGCAGGACTTGCATTTCATCTAATGCAGAACCTTTCACATCTCCTATTTCTGCCCTCGTAACGATAGCAGATAGTAGTAATATTGTTACAAGAATCCAGCTTCCAACTCTGCCACACATTTTCGAAATTCAAAAACAACCGTACCACTTTGATGGGACTCCTTAAAATCACCTCAAAGCAATGGAAGAGTTGAAACAAACGATTGCGATCGACCGCTGCAACTATTCGGAAATGAAAGTGAGGAATAATTCGGAAGAAATCACTTTTATGAAAATCTTACCGGATAGAAGGAAAAATATGTGATCATAAAAAAGGAGAGCTGTATAAAGGAAAATCTTCTGACAACACAACAATTGAAACATAACTGGTTATCAGACCGAAAATATTTGAATGTAAATTTACAGTAATTTAACCATTAAAGAAAAAGAGCTAAATGATTTGTAAATTTTTTGACATTGGAATCACATATCTTTGAATTCTGATGAACTTAACTTAATGATTTGCAATTTGTTTTTCCTTCCCGTATGAATTCAATTCACTAATGGTTATAAACTAACAGATAAATCAAGCACTGCGGTGGATTTGTTAAGACGATTCTAGAAGTTGTAAAAATTGGATTCAAAACTTAAAACCTAATCATGAACAAACAAAAAAAGAAAGACCGCACCACATATCAGAAATATATCAGAAAGACAAATGATCGAATGATAAAAATAAATATCAATTTGATATCTCTTTCACAATGAATCGTTACAACACCTTTTAATATTATTTATTCAATGAGCGCAGATTGATTACAACGCCAATAATTGAAATTTTACGCTAATTGTTCATAGTTTATCTTCGCCGCGGCAAATGCATTGCTAAGTCAATTTTGATAGTTTCAGTTCTTCCATTGGAATTCATAGGTTACTTTACACCACGACCCTCTTAGCTCTTCTGCCATTTTTATGCAATGTTATGTGTTTTTATGTAATGGTAACAGAAGATGATATATTGTTATTATATAAATATCACATAAATATTTTACATCAGAGATGATAATAGAAACAGATGATTTGTTGCCACATTAATACATTGACAATCATTCCGATCAAAATAAATTCAAACAAAAGGAATTATTTATCTTCTAACGCAAATTTCTTTGATTCAAGTGCAAGATAGTTCTTACATATTTGTAATTCATATTCATAATCACTATCACCTTCATTTCCATAATTTCCACCTTTTCCGCCGTTTACCATCATTTTCTTTAGTAACATTTCTTTCAATATGTTCGTATTCAGTGGATCGTCTGTTGATTTCATCGGAATCTGATCTGCAGAACGTTTTGCTTTGAATAAATCATTGTTGTCTATAGAATTTGATAATCCAGCTTCTTGAGCACTCATTCCTTGTTTTAAATTTGCTTTTGCTACATCCGTTGCTGTGGCCTCTGCTGCATTCATTTTTTCGATCTCTTTTCCATTGTCTTCTTTGACCTCTTTATTATCTGTTTGCAGGACTTGCATTTCATCTATTGCGGAACCTTTCACATCTCCTATTTCTGCCCTCGTAACGATAGCAGATAGTAGTAATATTGTTACAAGAATCCAGCTTCCAATTCTGCCACACATTTTCGAAATTCAAAAACAACCGTACCACTTTGATGGAACTCCTTAAAATCACCTCAAAACAATATAAGAGTTGAAACAAACGATTGCGATCGACCGGCTGCAACTATTCGGAAATGAAAGTGAGGAATAATTCAGAAGAAATCACTTTTATGAAATTCTTTTGAGTGACAGAAAACTAAGTGGTAATCCTAAAAATTTATGCAAATTTCTCCATTATTCCGGCATAAGCATTTATTTGTTTATCTTAAAAATTTGTAATTGAACCAATAAAGAACTTATGCTAATTTTTCTGACTGAATATGACAAGATCTAAAACTTTTTTATTTTATATCATCTAAAAACAAAAAATAATTTCAGCATGGCAATTAAAACATAACTGATTATCAGTTATCAGACCGGAAACCATTGAATGTGAACTTACTGTAATTTAACTATTAAAAGAAGAAAGAACTAAATGATTTGTTAATTTTTCGACATTGGAAAATCCTCTAAATTATAATTTATGCGAATAGTTATTTGAGTGGGAAATATTTCTATAACATAAATTGTTTTCATTATTTAGACATATTAATTATAAATTGTTTCGGTTTACAACAAGAAATGTAAATGAGATTATATAATTTAAAATTATTTGTTTATAATTAAATTGATAAAATGCAAATGACTGAATGATAGGCTTGTATTATTCATTCTTTCAATTCAAGCTTTGGAATTCTCTTTCTTTAATAAATTATTAATTTTGAATATCATTAAATAAATTTTGCCTCCTTTTAGAAAATGATAAGATATCATTCATTTGCTACATATTCATATCGTTTAAAACAATTGAATTAATAAAAACAAAAGGATTTTAGGGAAAGTAAGTTATCGATTTGAAAAAAATAAAATTTAAAAATTTTGAAAGGCAAATAATCGAATGATAAAAATAAATATCAATTTGATATCTCTTTCATAATGAATAGTTACAACACCTTTTAATATTATATATTCAATGAGTGCAGATTAATTACAGCGTCAATAAGAGAAATTTTACGCTTACTGTTCATAGTTTATCCTCGTTGTGGCAAATACAATGCTAAGTCAATTTTGGTAGTATCAGTTTTTCCATTAGAATTCAAAAGTTAATTTACACTAGTTTACCTCAGATGCTAGTGTAAAATAACTTATGTTTACCTCAGAAGTTTGCCTAAGAAGAGCTAAGAGGGTCGATCTGATCCGAAAAACAGAATATTCGGAATTTGAAACTTTGCATTCAGATATTCGCCTTATTGGAAAATTTCCATTTTTACAGTAAAGCTTTTCAACGCAGAAAATCTGTTGAAACTTTGCCATTTTCATGCAATGTTATGTGAGATAACAAAAAATGATATATTATTATTATATAAATATTACAGAAATTTGCATAAATTTTTTTCACATCAGTGATGATAATGGAAACAGATGATTTGTTGCCACATTAATACGTAGCCAATCATTCTGATCAGAATAAATTAATACAGAAGAAATTATTTTTCTAACGCAAATTTCTTTGATTCAAGTTTAAGATAGTTCTTGCATATTTGTAAATCATATTCGTAATCACTATCACCATCATTTCCAGGTTTCATACGCTTTTCACTGTTCACTAGCATTTTGTTTAGTATCATTCGTTTCAACGCGTCAATTTTCAGTGAGTCGTCTATTGACTTCTCCGGAATCAGATCTGCCGAACGTTTTGCTTTGAATAAATCATTGTTGTCTACAGAATTTGGTAATCCAGCTTCTTCAGCGCTAATTTTTTGTTTTAAATTTGCTTTGACCTTTGTTGTTTTCGTTTTTTGCAGTTTTTCTCTATCCGCTGCTGCGAGTTCTGCTTCTTTGACCAATGCTGTATCCGGTGTTTGGACCTCTATTTTATTTGTTTTTTTGATCTGGATTTTCTGTGCTTCATTCATTAACTGATTAGCATATTTTGCTTTGTTTTCAGTCTTGGTATTGTTAACTGAGTGCAGGACTTGCGTCTCATTTAATGCGGGAACTTTCACATCTCTTATTTTTGCTTCCGTAACGATGGCATGCAGAAGTAATAGTGTTACGAGAATCCAATTTTTTACTCTTCCATACATTTTCGAAATTCAAAAACAAAGGTACCACTTTAATGGGACTCCTTATAATCACCTCAAAGCAATAGAAGAGTTGAAACAAACGATTGCGATCGACCGGCTGCAGCAATCCGGAAATGAAAGTGAGGAATAATTCGGAAGAAATCACTTTTATAAAATTCTTTTGAATGATAGAAAATTAAATGGGTAATTCTAAAAATTTATGCAAATTTCTCCATTATTCCGTCATAAGCATTTATTTGTTTAATTTAAAATATAACTGTAACCGAACCAATAAAGAACTTATGCTAATTTTTCTGATTGAAATATAACAAGAGCTAAAACTTTTTAATTTTATATCATCTAAAAACAAAAAATAATTTCTTTCGTTAAGATTTAATAAATCCAACAAATTCGTTCTCTTCCAATTATCGAACATTCAATCACAAAGGTTTTTCAATTATTTTAATTTTTTAATTATTTTATTTTAATTTTTTAATTATTTTAATTAATTTACTATATCTATAATGTTTTAATCTTAATTTATTGGATTCATATAAATTAAATTTGAATAACTCTTTGACAGTGAACGAAATCTCTCCTAAGAATTATGCAATGGTAATGAACGGATCGTCAACAAATGATTGATCAATGTAATTGGTAATTTTTCAATCGTATGAAACCATATATGGATCATTTATATCAATATATCGTTTATATCATTTAGATCATTTTTATCTTTTACATCAAAAACTATCTTCCAATTTTTTGCAGACGATGTAAACAATTAATTTGTTCACTTTATTGCTTAGAAGCTACAATTTCAAAGTGGCAAAAATTTAGGTGGAAAAAATTTTCTTGTTATTCAAGTAATTAATATCATTTAGATTGAAACGCATATTTTGTTAATCATTCATGGAGTAATTTTATCAGTTAATCAGTATTGGAATACAAATGTAAATTACAAAGTTTATTGCAAACGAATTGTAATTTGTTGGATAAAATGATATTTTAATTCTTGTTCTGGTGACAACTTCTTAACATTTCGACTTCTCATTTCTTTGATTTAAATTCCGTTTCTAAAAATTGAAATATTTCGATGGCTTGCATTAGCAATTTTCAATCATAATTATTTTGTTCGAGTGCTACGGATTAAAAAAAACAGTAATATATCCGTAATCCATTATCAAATTTCACGTTAATATCAGGATAGCATCGAATGATATCAAATTTATGATGTAACAATAATAAGGTATGATTAAAATAAAAGTCGAAAAATTGTCGAATGCATTTGTGATCTGAAAGGATCTAAAAATTTTGAGATCATTTCTTTCGATTTCTTCACGATGCTCTCAAATATTATTTTTTAGTTATTATTAATTAATGCTTAATTATACGTTTAATATAAGAATTCTATTAATTTCTTTGCATTTTTCTGAAAATGTTCTTAAAATTTAATTTTATTAATAAATTTATTAAATTAATTAATAATTATTAATTATTAATTAATTAAATAAATTAAATATTAATAAATCAATTTATTAATAAAATTTAAGTTTTAAAAGATTTGAATTATTTTTATAGCAAAACGAATTAACCTTTCATTTTCTTTTTTTGATCTTTCACCTTTTTTGATTTCTTTCTTTCTTTATCATCGTATCCTGTTGACAGTGTTCTGAAATAAATTTAAGAGTTAGAATGAAATGATTTGTAAATTTGCTCTAAAATAGAAATCAGTGATTATTTCGCTGATAAGGAATTTTCATAAATTATTATTGTATTGTATTCGAAATATCACTAATTTTAAAGCTTGCATAATTTTTTGGAATAAAATTTTAAAACAAACGAAGTATCTTAACCTTAACACTTTCCTTAACCTTAATTCCTTAAATTAATTCCTTAACCTTAAAAACTTAAATTAATTCCTTAGTCTTAAAAACTTAACCTTAATTCAATATCTTAACAAATGATACTACTGCTATCGTAGCATCATTTTCTGGATTAGTCTGCTAAAAAAGATTGAAATAAATTAAGTTAAGATAGATACTAATTTATGCGAATAATTTTTTCACTCTGCTAGTAAGTGGAATTTTTGAAATGATCAGAGAAATATAAGTTTGAATCAATTAGCTTTAAATCATAAAACTTTAACGATATGTAAATGAACAATTTGCTTTTGTTTTGATTCTCATACAAAATTTCGTTGACCTAAAATTAAAAAAACAAATATGAAAATAAATATTTGAGAATATGTTTATGATTTCAAAATAGTGTCATTAATTTAAACAAAAAGATTTCCAACTTTATTTTCATTAAATTTCGAAAGAAATATTTTCTTTTTTTTCCTTAATTATCTATTATATGATAATAGGTTATTTAATAGCTATTGTTTAATGCTGCTAATGCTTATGAATTTAAAAGCCATTCAAATCTATGGTTCATCCTATAATTTATTTGTTTTCTGGTTCATTCATGAAAGGAAGAAGAAACGGAAAGAACAGCTGAAAGATTCATGATGACAGTATCCACTTTACCATGTAAATTAACCATTTAAAAGCTAGTTAAAAGCAAAATACCGCAATCGGTTTGTTCCAATCCGTTCATTAACAAGGCAATTTTGACGATGATAGAAAATGGTGCAGTTGGTGGAGCCTCAAGTGGTTACTTAAAATAGTTCCTGCAAAATGGAGATTTAGAGAATTTGAAATGAAAAACAATGAGAATCGCCAGTTAACTGTGGGTTACGAAATGGTTTGCAAAATGTGCAATCAATTGCTTCGGGTGATATGGAATCATTAATTATTAAAAAGAGTAGGACGATAGCAAAAAAGCCTAGCCGGAAGTGCATGCAGCCAAAAAACAGCCATTTAAATTGCTTAAAAAGTAAGAGAAAGAAAAAAATGTGTGATTGATTAATTTGCGGAAAATTAAACTTATCAATCGTTTTACAACTTATCAGAAAATATATCAAAGAATTAATCATACATTAATGCAAATTAGTGATTAAAAAATAGTGTTAAAATTTTTTCCATTTTTATAAATTCTTCTATTAAAAGAAGAAATGTATTTCAATTAGATTGTTTATAATTATTTTCCACCTAATCATTAACGAAAGGTTAAAACAATCAGTGAAAATTTAAAAGATCAAAAGAGAATATGAATGAATCAATCACGGTGAACGGAGGAAAAAGTCTAATTAAGGTAGAAAGAGTTCAGAAATTGACAATCGTAGGGAGAATGCAATGTGAATCATGAAATTAACAGTAGCTGAAAGACTCTTAGGTTTATGATATTAGCTGATGTATATAATGCGGATATGAAAATGAATAAATCAATGAGAGTTGACCGTTGCGTATAACACAATTGACCATAATAAACATTCAGTCCATCTTAGGGTCACATAGACACATCGAATTGCTCTTCAATAATATTCAATTATTACAATAAAAATTATAATCTGAAATGAATGTTTCATCTCTTAGAAAATGTCTTCCTATATTACCCTAATAATTTCGGATATATGCAAATGTAAGTGTATGATATTATTATTTCAACTTACTTCATCAGCATAATGTACCAATCGGCAAACTCACAACAGTGCAACAAATTTTGCATAGAGGAAAAAATTATGCTTGTGATATAATCAAATATTATCTTTCTAGTTAGTCTTAATATCGCAGTTAATATTATCTGTAATTTGTGATTTACAGTTAGACTATGATTTGATTTATGCATGCATGTTACGATATAGCAGAGCATATTTCTCAACCTACTTTTGCAGAAGCATTTATACTTATACTTGCAAAAATTGATAATTGCATAAGTTAAGTGCAAATTGCATGATTTCATCATTCTCTAGTTCCAAATAAATTATACAAGGACAATTGTTTGCACAGTTTATTTCATTCACTTCTTGATTTATAACCCTTATTTGTTGACAAAAAAAAAACGGATCGTAGAATGGATCATGCTTGCGGTACCACTCTTTTATTTGCCAAGGTAGTTTAATGAAGAAAAGAGGAAAGAAGTCAAATGTGTTACCTGCTGCGCCTTCTTCCGATTTGCGGTATCACAATATTTGGGTACCACATTTTCCGACCCGCTAACGCATTAGTCACATTTCCTGTTTATATACATTTTCTTCTGTTTATTATTTGTAATGAAACAGCTATTTTTATTTTTCTAACTATTTCTATTTCAACTATCCGACATTTAATGGATGTCACTTTCTTTCATATTATTCATATTTTTATCACATTAATCGATAACAGTCAAAATAATTCATTCTGAAATGTTTATTCTACCAGCAATATTATTTACATCATAAGTAAAATAAAGATTTGCCAAAATAGTACACCATTTTTTCGCTTACTTCTTTCATAGTCAAATTGCTCACATATTTCTTTATCGTTTTTCAAAAAGCTTGAAATGATAAGTTAAATGGAGCTATCAGTCAGCTATCAATTTTAATCAGTGCAAATTTTTCTGATTAGTTTAATCTTTTCGTTTTCAAATTTATCATTATATATATAAAGTTACTGATATATTCACCATCATTGTATTTACTTGCAGTTTATTTTAGGAGTGATAAATAGAAGAAATCAAACTGTTAAGTAGTGAGTGATAACTGCTATGCATATATCGAACGATTGATTTTATTTTTATTCCTCTACTAATTAACAAAATTCATTCAACTATTTTTTCGTATATTTTCGTAACAGTTATGATCGAAGATTTTTCCGCTTGAATTTCGTTTCATTCTCAATCATTTGGTTGATTTATTCTTATAAGGTTTGTTAATTATCTAATAGCATTATCAATGATATTTTTTGATATGCTTGAGTATGATAGCAATTATTATAGCATTCGTATATTAGTGTATCTATGAAAAAACAGATGAAATCCGGAAATGAATGAATTATAACGAGAACTGTTAAAAAGCTATGATAATATCATCGAATGATGTAAAGATTTCTGCAGTGTTGAAAAATTGATGTAAAAGCTAGATTTTCATTTATTTACAAATAATGCCGAATTTTTTTAACTTTCGCAAATCTCTTCACATTGTTAATCTCATAGTTTAGCAAGCTCGAAATGGTTAATAAAAACTAGTTTAGTAATTTGAAAATTTTATTTAGTGTAATTTTAAACTAACCCGTTTTGAAATGAATAACAATGATGATGTGTATTTTAATTATTATCAAATTTAATTGTGTGAATTATTTGCACATCCAATCAATTAATGATCCTAAAAAAAAATTGTTAAATGACAAATTCTACAATGTAGTATTAAAAACAATGCCTCACTATGGGTTCAGTTTTATTTAATTACTGAATATCTTGAATTATACAATTGTATGGCTTGGATAGGTAAATTAAAATTTTTCTATTTATCAATTAATCTTTTTATCAATTACAATTAAACTGAATTCAATTTAAATTTTATTTAATTTTAATGTAACGTATCGATTGTTATAAAAGCTCATTATTGTCATAACAATCTTGCATCGATTCATTAACTTCATCATATAATTGCAGCAATAGACGACGATAGAGGAGTGGTACTTCATAAGGAACCGTTGAAAAATGAATATTTGAAATAATTATAGTATTAAAATTGGACATAATGATATAGCAGGAAATTAGAATGCAATTTAGGCCCTAATATATTTAAGGTTATATTAAAACTTGAAATTTTGGGAGTAGGACAAGCAAAGGACACAACTTTTTCCACTCTATCGCTATCGATACAGAAATAGTTGTTTGACATCGAGGAATAAATGCACTTCAAAATATTTTATGCTCAAACAGCACAACAATGTCAATAGCAGAAGTATTTAAGGGTTATGTAAGGCCCTAAAAAAAGAGTTAAGGGTCAGCCTTAGACTTAGGCAACTTCGAATGCTTTCAATACCATGCGAAGCGAAAGGAAAACGAAAAGCCCCAATTACCGCTCGGTTCGCTATTGGTCCACCCATTTATGTTAAGCCTATAGAAATGATTGGCTAAGGTGTGGCTAGGCCAACAACATCAATAGTTCAGTGTGCTTTTCAACTCCGCCCATTTCCGTAATATACCGTGGATATGGTGCGTCCTCCTCGGAAGATGGGTTAGTCGATCATAATAGTTTCCAAGGCTTCTGAGCCAAGAAAAAGAAGGAAATCAGAGGGGTAAGAGATGCCGGACGTTGTCACCGCAGTACGGGAAGGAAACTGACTGCAAATGGATTCAAAATCGGATGTTCGACAGCAACCAACTAATCCTAATTCTGCGCCACAACCGCCACCATTGCAAGCAGCAACATTAGCTGTACCTGGATCGGCTGCCAGTACAAGCACATCAACAAGCAAAGATTCACAACCAAACATCGCTTTAACCAATTTCAATTTTGGCACTTTTCAGGTGCTAAAGAAAAATATTTGAACATTCTATCTTACAACTATCTTTCATATTTTTTTCATTTTTTTATTTTCTAGTTTTTAAATAATAATTTGTCGCATGCAAATTTAGAAAAATTTTCATTCTTTCACTTTCATTCTTTAACAAATGGTTAGGCATTTTGTCATCCCTATTACAATTTCATTTTCTCAATTTGATTTCTATAATTTAAAATTCATTAAATCATTATGTCCATTAGAGTAAGCAAAATTCCAGGAGTGCAAAGGCTATTTTGATTATCTTTAAACGTTACATTTTATGTTTAATCCTATTAAGACTTGAATTATATGATTTTTGTTCAACGAAAATCTCATAATATGACATTGTGTTGGTAATAAAGTCTCTCTATACGTCTATCAGAAAAATCTTTCAACCGCAAATATTTGTTTGTTGTTGCTAACGCTGTCAACTTTATTTCTTAGATTAACAAATCTTTTTATTGTCTTCTTGAAATTATATCATATTTTGTGCACTTGAAGCAATTTAATACTATTGAAATTTAATACTAATTTGTACTCCTCGGAACAAAACCAAAAGAACTAAATTTGAAATCGAAAAATTCCTATATTCTACAATTTTGGTGGCCTAAAAGGAGTAAAAAGTTCATTCATAGCTTAGTAATTATATCACAATACGTTAGCATTCTTTAATTATCCCCAAAATGCATATTATCTTTTCAGTTATCAGCAACCAATGCGAACGTTAACAGTACAACAAATATGGTTCCCATTTCTCAACGGAACATTTTCTATGACACAAGCAGCAATTCGATACAAATGCATAAACAGCAAATCGTTCATCAAACCGGTAATTTTCCCTTTCCAGTAATTCATTAATTAATGATTTAGCTTCGGTTAAGCACACAATCATTTTTTCTTCACTTCAAATTGATTGAATTATTTTGTGATTCATTCCTAAGCTTTCATTCTTGCTAATATCCATATAATTGAGAAGAATTGGGAAATTAACAGTTACCTAATGATATGTTACTGTAGATATTACGGTAGCACGAATACAGCATTCTTTGCTTAACCTCTAAAAGATTAATCAAGTAGTGTGAAGTGCACTTGAGAATTGATTCGTTTTGCGTATCATCTCCATGGAAGCTTTTCGAAACTAATTTGTATTAAACATCATGAAATGATTTTTCCCAGAAATTAGCAATTTTGAAAATAAGTCTATCAAAATGAATATTATTACTGATATGAATTTTAACTGAACTTACTACTTTTTCCTTCCTGAAAATGTTTCATAATCCTTTCAATCCATTTCATAATATAAGTAAATTAAAATATTCCGATCGTTCAGTTTATTTCAATCCTTTCAATCCATTTCATAATATAAGTAAATTAAAATATTTCGATCGTTCAGTCTCTTTCATTATTTTATTCTCATTTAAGGATTGTAAAAAAAGAAGTTATTTTTCATAATATTAAAGAATTTATTTAAATGAAAATCGCTCACACAGAAATAAACCTTAATTACTACTAAGAAAATGATAGCTTCTTAACAAATGAAATACTTCTAAATCAATATATCGTTGAAGATAACAAATGATTTGTAAAAAAGGAAATTTTGAAAATAATTGAGAATTTAGCAAAATTTTCGTTACCATAAATTTCAGTGCTGATAGTAGCAAATTTCATTAATTTTAATTGACTTTTGATTTCTAAATTTTTTCATCAAATCCATTGAGTTTTTGTCGTATTTTCTAGGTAGTATTTAAACGATCGCAACTTAAATCTCATTTTCTGGCTGATAAGCTGATAAGTTGATAAGCTTATTGCGTGCTAAAAAAAAAAGGGTATATGAGATTTCTGGATTACAAGAAATGAGTTAAATATGTATCGTTAAATTTTTTGATCAACTAAATCATTATGCATAAAATTTCAACGTTTAAATTTCTTAGCGAAATATTTTTTGATGATGCTATTCATGCGAAAAATGAAAACATCAGAAATAATTCGATTGCAGAAAGTTATCATCGATGAATTGGGAAAAAAAGAATAGAAGTTAATTTAATTGTGACAGCGCAAGTTTTTGTTGAAAAAATTTTTCAAGTTTAACAAAAAATAAAAACTCCGAAATTTATTGTTATTACTTTACATTAAGGGGTTAAAAAGGTTTGATAGGAATGAAATAGGAATTGAAAGCTAGTTCTCGACCAAAATAATAAACTAATTTCCTTCATTGAATGAAAATATTATTGCAAATCAAACTTGTCAAAAAGAGCAAATAAACACATCTGAAGTTTTAGTTTGTCAACTTTTCTTTAGCCTATTCAAAACTATTTAAAAATTTTGATACATGCTAAATGGAATAGGCTTATTTATTTTTTTTTGTCTTTAGCTTTATTTAAAGCCTAGAAAATAAATAAATAACTAAATTCATTTAAAACTTATAAATGTGTTAATCATAAACGTTTAATATATCAAATTCAATGATTCGGATTTCATTAAACTTTTTTTAAAATGTTATCATATTTTTGATTGCCGATCTTGTATTCAAAAATAATTACTTAAAAATTTAATTCTAATTATAAATTACTTTTTAATCCATCAATCCATCATTTACATATTATATTGCTTATTTATTTATTTTCGACAACTTAATTTATCACTTCATTTTTAACTTATTTATAGGGATGAATTTGAATGCAAATGCATTTCATACTGCAACACCAAGTCATTCATCGACAACCACAACAACTGTCAAAGAGGAGGTAAAGGTATGCTATGAATGTAAATTAGCGAATAATTTTAAAGTATCTATTGCTATATATATATATATTTTAACTTTTGATTTCTTAAAGTAGCTAAATAAATTGTTAGTAATGCATTATTAGCTTAATAAAGTGAAATTTAATTGATTGAATTGTAATGTCGTTGTAAAAATTTTGCAAAATTTTTAGCCGATGACATTAAATTCATCATGCTTCAGTTGCTCATCTTTACGACTACCAACATGTCATACAGCAGCAGCATTTGGACAACCTGGTTTGTGTATCTTTTACTAGAATGGAATTTAAATTTTTCCATAAAAGATTATATAACCTGCTAATTTACGAATATCTTTTGTGCTGATCATTTTACTCGTCTTTTCAATTTCCATATTGTTTATATTACGCTTATCTTTTGAATTCATCAGTCACAGAATTTCTCTTCATTTCAATTTATCAATCTATCAACAATCAGAAAGTCAACAAAGATCATTTCAGAAGCTTTTAGAAGCTCGTATTTTCAGGTTGATTCAAATTCTCAAATGTTTTGTAGTAAATTTTTCGTTTCGATCGAAATACTCTTAAAATAGTATAAAAGAAATGAGTGTAAAAGTTGCAAAAATTTTGTTCATCAAATATTTAAACTAACTGTCGACAATTTCAAATATATTTGTTATTTTACTTAAAGTAAGAAAGCAGTGTACTTATATACGTATATAATTTAATTCATATACTCTATTACTCATTCTTTATTATAACAGTAATTGTTATTAGCTTCCAGTAAGCTAAGTAAGAAGAAAAAGGCGAAACCGATAATGGGAATTTCTTAAAAGGAGCTATTATTTTGCGGTAAATATTGGCACATTGGGAAGTATGCTTGGAAAGGTTATTATCATTATGTAGCTTAGATGTGAGCTAAAAATGAGAGAGCTATTATCCAGAGTCCAACAAAGGAAGCCGATCGGTTTCTAGCCTAAGGATTGTATCCTGATATCAACAAAAGGGGCCAATAATACCTCTATTCATATCCGCCTCATTCCTTCTCCCTCACTCTCTTTCTATCTCTCTATTCCTTCTCTGTAATACCTTCAAAAAGAATGCGTAATGAGATGATAGCTTCATAATTGTATTATGCAAATTACTGTAATCAATATACAATAGTTGCAATATGATGATAAGTTGCTATTTCGCTTAATATCTTCACGTCCTTTAACAGAAAGTTAATTGAAGTGAATTTTCCAAATAGCAATTAGCAAAAGTCATGAGACGTATATTAAGCATATTTCTAAGTTTTCCGATATATCTTTAGTTTGCACATTTGCTTTCTTTATCTGTTTAACCTATGACCTCTTACGCAAATGCTCATTTCTTATGATGTTTATGTCTAAGGAAATAATTGGAGAAGAGAAGCATTATCACATACAATGAGAGCAGTTTGTGTAAACTTTAATTGTAAGGAAACTGATCAATAAGTTACTAATTAATACTACTATGCTTCGGCTTGATTACTACTCTTAAACAGCAGATAACCGTAGGTATAGTTTTTAGACATCCTGGCTTAATTAATTAATTCGTATCCTTGTTCCAATCTAAAATGGCAGTCAAACTGTAATTCTATAAAACAAAAATGAATTGAAGTATCAGCTTGTTCTTGTAATATAATACATTCAAGTTTATAAATTTTTGATTCAAATATTAAATTGCATATCTAGGCGCTATTGTAGAGGAGGTCAGAAAGGTCATTATGGGTCAGTAAAATTAGCTTTTATTTTGCAGAAAAGCTTTTTACCTTTTCCTTCAAATGTATAGCACAAAAAAAAGAATAAATAAGAAAAGGTGGATAAATAAGTGAAATCAAAGAATGGCAGCTGCAGCAATCTAACAAAAACATAATGAGCACTACCGGTACCCCGTACCACAATTTCACCAAAATGTCCATCATGTAAGCATAGCCTTAACCTCTCTCATAAAATCGAACACTAATTATTTCCCATTCAAGATATAATTGATAGAACAATAAAACAGGGTGAATTTGCATAATTTTTATTTGTCAAAATTCAACAACTTTCTGATTATCAAAATATTTAAATAACAAAATATTTGATTCTTTCTTTTCGCTACGAAATGATGGAATTATTTAATTTGATGTAAAACTGTCATTAGTATATTTATCCCTCAATTGTGATTGTCAGATGATCGATCTTTTTGGAATGTTTAATGGTATTATTACCTTGTAAATTACCTGATAACAAATGATTTGCTTGAAGTAAGGTGTATTTTTCAGTATTTGCTCCTCTGCATAAAACTAATGAACAAGAAGTAAACAAAATTTGAATAAATTTTTGTTTGCTTTTTATTGAAAGTTGAATTAAGGCCTAAATTGGTCAGTTTTATTATGACAACACTAATTTCATCCTTTTTCTTCAACTATCATGGGCCTAACTTTTTTTTGTTGTATTATTTAAGTTTGTATGTATTACTAAGCTAATTAAAAGTAGATTTCTTAAAGAGGAAAATGAGTTTATGCTTTGACTATCTTGGCTCAATTGTATGAGAGTAAAAGGAAAGAGTCGAGCTATTTCCTGTCTTTCGTCCTTTTCCGCCTTTTTCCTTTAATTCTATGATAATCATCAAACTCATTTCTAACTCCAATGTTTCCATAGTGTACTTACTCATTCAGGAGTCCGCTCAGCCTTAAATTCAATAAGCCTAATCAGAGGCTTTATTCCTTATGCTTCTTCCTCCATTTGCACCTCTTTAATGCCAAAACTTCTTATTTCATAGGGCCTAAAAGATTCTAAAATGAAAATCACGACTTCATTTGAATGAATTATACGAAGAATGAATCAATCAAAACAAAATTCAATCATTCAAATGAGCGGTTGCAAATGCTACAATAAGATGATGAAGGAATGATCAACAACGAAAACATTTTAATACATTAATTTCCTGCAATGTCTTAAAATTATCGGGGAATCAATTTCGTAAAGCTGCAAATAATTGTTTTATTTCAGAGGCATATTGAATAAGTAATATAATTGAAAAGAGATAAAACAATAAACCAATTTTTTTGATTTGTTTGGAGAAAAATAGAAAATCTTATTTACATCATTTATTACCGATTATGATAATATACTATTATCAATGATACATTTGGCTATAATCATTTGTAGCATTTTACTTTTAGAGTAAATCATATAAAAAGTATATGTGTCCGCTTAAAATATATAACAACCAGAAAATAATAGTTTTAGTAAACTTTAATAAAATTTTCAGATCCGTATCAAATCTTAGGGCCAACAAGCAGTCGGCTAGCGAGCGCAGGTAATTTTAACAATAATAATTTTTCATTTCGTAAGTATGCGATAAATTTTTATTATACTTCTTATAATATCGCATAAAATAAAAATATCATATATAATGATTGTAATATAATGGCAGGCTGATGACAGAATTACAACCAAATCTCAATTTTAAGAATTTATGAAAATAAAAATTATCAGGTAGCGGACAGATTCAACTTTGGCAATTTCTTCTGGAGCTATTGTCAGATAGCCGTTATGCGGAATCGATCACTTGGGAGGGTACAAATGGTGAATTCAAATTAGTTGATCCAGACGATGTGGCTCGCCGTTGGGGCGAACGAAAAAGTAAACCGAATATGAATTATGACAAAATGAGCCGAGCGCTACGATACTACTATGACAAAAATATCATGTGTAAAGTGCATGGGAAACGATATGCTTACAAATTTGATTTTCAAGGTTTGGAGGAAAAAATTAACCTTTCAACTTTCTTAGATCTTCAAAGAAACAAATTATTGAAGGGAAGATATTTCAAGCAAATGAGAAGTTTCTCATCAATTAGTTCTCTTATCATATAAACCAAATAGTACCATTGTCATTAAAATAGAAAATAATTTGCAAAACAATCCTGTAAACTTTTCCCCTTCTGGCAGTTTGCTAAATTTATATCATAGAAAAATATAATGACATAAAATTTTAGGAATAGCGCAAGCCCTGCAACCACAGACAAATACCGCTTCATCAGATCTATTTCAACAATCACGGTTACATTCGTCAGAGTTCATCCATTCGCCATGGGCTACCGCAAATTATCGCACACTTATGACACCTCAATTTCAGGTTCATTTAAATTGCATTCTGACGATAATTAAAGAAAAAAGATATTAAAAATAAGTACATCACTAATCTATCTCTATAAATACTACAGCATGATCATAGGATACTGTATCTCACACAGTACTGTATGAAATACTGTATGTAATATACTATCATATGGTCAGATCGTATCCTCTATTCATTTACAATTTTTTTAATTCATTTCTTTGTTTACGAGTAAAACTTTTGGATAAATATTTATAGCTAAAATATTATTCATATTTCAAAGATTTTGAAAATTTAAAAATTCAAATATTTCAGGCATCTGCAGCAGCCGGAGCTTTGTTCAATCCACCGGTTGGTTATGCTAGTTTTGGTGGTTCCGGTAATGGTACCCTCCAAGCTCGTAATTTTCCGCTCTATGCGTCATCCAATTATCCGAAATGTATATAGTACCGATTGATGTAATTATAATAGTTAACTGATAAGAATTATTGTCAATTAATTTAATCCAAAAATTAGGGCAGAGAAAGACAATTCTTTCCGTTCAATTTTGACTATAATTGCTAAAAGCTTTAGCTGAAGAAATTCTTTTTATGAAATTTCCATATCAGAATATTTGATTTAAGAATTTTTACAATTTCTTTCTTTCCTCTCATTCATTACGATACGTACTTTCCTTCTCTAAACATTGATATGTTATCAATATTAGCTTTCATTGCTTCTCTGCAACACTAGGAAAATTTCAAAGCAATCATTTAAAGTTTTAATTTTAACTTTATGCAAAAAAGATTTTGAGCACAACGATAAATGATTCATAGCTTTTTTTGTTGCTGTATCGGTAAAACTTCTATTTCTTTGTAAATTTATTTTGGTTCCTCTAATTGATCTCACTGTAATTTTATTTGTTTAAAACTTTAAATTAAGCTTAATTAAAACAAATGTAATAAACATAAATTAAATTTTTTGTAAAATTTTGATATACAAATGAGAAGAAAGTTAAAAGATAAAATAAGTTTTGCATAATTGAAACGAGAAAATTTTATGTAAATCAAAAGAAAAACCCCAAATACTATCGATCCGATATTGATTAGTTTACTTTTCCCGGGAGTTATTTATATCTCTCTATCAGGAAAATTTATTATTTAGTTGTCGGCGAAAAAGTACAACTTAAGGAAATTTCGTTTCTGATGCCAGTAAATTTATCGAATAGCACTTTTATTTGCTGAAGAGAAAAACCCATAAAACTGCCATCTTATTGAAGTGAAAAAATGAAATCATTGTTGTCAGCCTTTATCAAACAAAATACATCACAACACAGTTACCATCGAAATCAATTATGGATAAGCTGAATGAATTATGGATAAGTTAAGACTAAAAATTACGAATGCCATTAAAATGATGCTTTTTTTTGATTCACTGTTTATTTAAACTTATGACCTTCTTGAACCCTAATCATAACAGAATTTTATTATTTAGTTTACCAAACAGCAGACTTATGATGTCAGCGATTTTTCATACCTCTTAAAAGGTATGATATATTATTGCAGTGGCAGTACATTAGTCATCTCTAAACCCGATTTTCCTGTCAGCAATACCTATATGAATGAAATATGTAAATGAAATCTCGTACTTATGAAAAGTACTTCCATCCTTAGATTTTCATTCATTTTAATTTGTCATCATGCATAATTACTTTTTTGTTTATAATACGGCGTCATGGAACTGATAAGGCTATAATAAATTTATCACCAGCTTTAGAATATCACTTATTCAAGAAAACTGAGATTTCCTGGCAAGGTTTCAAGTTGAAGGAAAAAAAAAGAATTTGAAAATTATTATTTTAGATATGGAACTTTTCAAGCATCTGTGAACAATTTTAATTATTAGCGTTGACATTTTGCTTCAAAAATTATGCGATGACTTAGATATTAATAATTTTAGGCTTTTTACTTTTCAGGAAAGTTTGAATAAGGAAGACAAAGGAAATGCACCTGAAAAGAATATATAAAATTCTTAGTTTTGCTTTAGAGAGTAGAAATTGAAATTGATGTAATCCGAAGAACTCGCTTAGAAGTGAAATTTGGTTGATTTTTAGTCTCTTTTCCTCATTCTCTATTCTCGAAATGATTATTATGTTATTCTTATCGGAGCAAAATCTCAGAATTATTCAAATACGGTATCAAATAATAGCACATCATAAAACAATTACATTTTCAACATTAAAGAAACTTGCCAATTTTTTTTAAAGAATTTGAGATAAGAATTAATCAGTTGATATGCCTAATTTATGCCTCAACTTTGCTGTAAAGTTTTTTTTGATGCTAAATAGAATCGAATTGACAGTCAGAGTGTGCAAATAAACTGCTCCGAATATTTTATGGTGTGAGACATATTATTTTCACAAAGAGCTGCAATGAAGTAAATGGACGAGCAATTAATTGATGATTCAAGGTTTTAAATTGTACTCTTTGTTGTCGCCGTTTTTGTAGATTCTTTCTGCTTAATCTTGGAGAGGGTTTCCTGATCTTATGGAAGTTAAGTAAGGCAGATAAGATACCGAAGAACTATTGTTTAGAGATAAGATGAGCTTTTTGTTGGTGAGATGAGAAGAGAGATTTTCAAATTAACGATAAATTCAATTATATTTCTATAGTTTGTGGCTGGCAGTTATTCTGTGAATAGTTCCTTTCTTCATGTTTCCGTAATTAGACGTGAAGTATTACTTGGAAATAGAAGCTTTTAACCTGATACATCTGATTTACAACTTTGTAATAATATTTTTTGTTCAATATGCAAGTTGCATATGATATTAAGAAGCTTCGTATCATATGCAACTTGCATATTACTTTAATAACTTGCGCACAACAATAGAATGCAGTTGTGAACCTCGTCAAGTAATTTGGTTGCTGAAGTACATTGATGTTTTCCCCAAAATTTTTCGTTTTTTTTATAATAATCCCTCTGCGAAATGGTAGTGATTTACTGTATTACTCTTTTTTGTATTCTTTCTTACCTGGCATCAGGATTCTAACTCTCTCACTTATGTCTGTTTGATTTTTTTCAACGAATTGTGCTCTCTAATTTGCAATATTAAATTAACTCGTTTTTGAAGCATGTGTGTTCTTAAGGCGTATATAGCCGAACCGTATAAAAACTAATGAGTGCAGAAGATAACTCCCAAATTATCGGTGATGGAGAAATGCGACTAATGAAACATAGCGATCCAAATGCAGCTCTTGTATTACTCTTTGGATGGGCTGGTTGCAGCGATCGATATTTGGCAAAATATGCCAAATTCTATGAGAAAAAGTAACACTGAATTTCAATTAATGAAGAAAAACACGTTTGCAAGAGCTTGAATTGTTTTTATATGGGCAAACAATTACTGAATCTCAAATCTCATACAAGTTTTAGTCGCTTGAAATATAGATGTCTAGATATGTTAGTTTCTAAAGCAATGAAGAAATTATCCATGTTATGACTAAAAATGGTGTTCTTAGAAATGAAGATTTTAAATAAACATTCATGTGAAAAGATATAGCAAAATCATACAATACCTATTGTTGCGCACATTCAATGGTACTTATCACGCTTAGTTAATTAAGCTGGATTAGTTAGTTTCCTTATCAATTTTCCTTTTCTAGCTCACCATTCTTATCGTGATGCTAATTTCAGTTACTCGGTCTTACGCTTTACAGCTGATATTCAGAAAATCCGCTCTTTTTCATCCTATCGGAAATTTGCATTGGATATTTATGAAAAGATTCTCGGAACAACGACAGCACTATCCATATACTGTCACATGTTTAGCATGAATGGTTGTTCAACGTTTTGTGCTTTGTGGGATCTGCTGGATACAGTTGCGGATTGTGAAACACTGAAGTCGAAATTTAAAGGCTTGATTTTTGACAGGTGTGGTTGTGCTGTTCGTATTCGAAAACTTTTGTGATTTGATAAAATGAAATTTTACTGCATTTTAATTATAGTATAATACTAAGTTGAAGAAAATGTATTCACGTTTCGCTCTTTTTCGTTTGGATGAGTTATTAAATCGTGACTGTCAACCAGTTGCCATTAGAGCCAGTTGTAGGAAATTGAAGGCTCAATACTTCTGTCAAATCAAGCCGGATTGCTAAATTTAGAAAGCTGTTGATGGCATGCTAAAAGTCGGAGAGTTGATGCCACTTAAAGGGAATTTTGCGTTGTAGAAATTTTGATTGTTGCAGGGTCCTGTTAGCTGCTTTGGGTTGCACTATTCTTTTGTAGTGGCACTCCACATTTTGTGGCTGAGAACATGTGTAAATTCCTCAGTCAAACTATGTTAAGAAGTTAATAGTTCGTAGATATTGTTAAAATTCCACGTAAATGTTAGTGTTTTTAATTCTAAAATTGCCAGTTTTCAGCTCTCCAGCATATGTGACACCATGGCAAGCAGCAGCGGCAATATCATTTGCTCTGCTGCCACCACCCACCCATGGCAAGATTTTACGTGAAAGTTATCGCCTGATGCTTGCTGGCTACTTTTCAGTACTTAGTTCCATGATTTGGCTTCGATCTCAGTGGGATAAAAATGTTTATGAGCGGAACTATTCTTATTTTCGGATGTTGGCGATGAAAGATTTACCAAAATATCAGCTTTATATCTATAGCTCTACGGATTCCATTTGTTCGGCAGAAAGCATTGAGGAGTTTATAATGCACGAGCATGAACAAAATGCAGAAATTTCAAAGTTGTTTTTCAATGACACACTTCATTGTCAGCATTATCGACTTCATCCAGAAGAATACGAGCAGGCTTGTGTAGAATTTCTGAATAAAGTGTGAAAATTGGTATCGAGTTGCTGAAAACAATCATTTTCCTAGTATTTATCCAATTTCAAATTTTGGTTATTTTAACCTGGTATTCATTTATCCATTTGCATGAATATTCATTAACTCTAATAAGGTTATTTTGTTTGTGAAGTAGATGTCTTTTAGATTGCTTTATAATAAGCACTATATCATTCATTATAAATTTCCTATGATTATTAGGCAGTAAATACACTTTTAACAATTCATGGTATTATATTTCGTAGATTTTTTTAGCGGCTACCGGTTTTCAAAGAATCTTTTTGTGTCTCTCATTTTTGTTCTATTTATTCCGCATTACATTTAAGCAATATCTATGCTTATTTGACTATTAATGATCTCTATTAATTTTTTAAAATGTATTCAACTTATCAATTATGTGAATAATTTTGAATTATTATAAAACGAGGAAAGCCATTAGTTTGGGTTATTGAATTTCATTATCTAGTAATAAAAAAACTTTCCTCTTTATGATATCGAGTAATCGAGAAATTGCAAAAAATGTAGAAAGATCATATCGCAAGAGCTGAGTCTCGATGTACTTTATTGCTATTGTATGTAGGGTATTAAGGACAACGTTAAAGATTGATAGCAGTGCTGGTTTTAAACTTCGGTAAAGATTAATTGTAAGCGACTGTTGCATATTTTCTGCATTTTTCACGGTGTGTATGATTACCAATCGATACTATCATGTGTAGAATAGGTGTGAGGTGTATAGGGTGCTAATGATATAGCAAAAAGAAATTAAAAGGTTATTTGCTTTTGAAAGCAAATTTTTGGCTTGTGCGTCGACTTCTATATCATGCAGAAAAACTTCAGTGGGTTGATATATTGTTTTTTCTTATTTTCTCTTCGTTGTACTAATGTCATCCTTCCTATTCTTCAAATTGTTGCTTTTCGCTCGATATTGACTGTTCAAATGAATTCGCATACATCGATTTTGTCTTAATCTTGAAAAAGAATAAGCTTTCTGAAAGCGATTGTGCAATTTAGAAAGGAATTTAATTCAAGATCATTAGAAAAATCGAATAAATTAATCATAGATCATAAAATTTAGAAGTTTCTGCTGTAGATTTTTTGTTGATATGATCAATAAAAAAAGTAAATTTTATAAATTTCATTTCCTGTAATTCATCTCCTTTATATCGATTTCAATTTATTTTAGATCTTAAAACAACAACTTAGGCCCATGTAAATATTTGTGCTATTCTAGTTCATCACATTTCCTTTAAATGGTGTTATAGCGTTTCGACTTCTCATGTGTTGAATTATTGATAAATACTTTCAGCCATTTGTCATCGTTACTTTTTGTTTATCATTGCTCTTTATCATCCCAAATGTTGCCGATGATTCCTTTCTAGTTAACATTTTGTATCATTGCTTTATAATTTTTTTTGCTATAAATAATATCTTTGTTCATTTTGACTTTTTGAGGAAATTTTTTCTCGAATGAATTGTCAAGAATTTGACATAAAAATTGTGCTAAAATTTACTTAACGAATTGCTTACCGGGAAAGTTCGTGTTATTATAGATTAGCTAAGCTTAGTGTTATAAAATGTTTTCTAGATGTTTTCTGTGTTAAAATAATTCCTAGATTGTTTGGTTTTTGCATTGACGAAGATTTTGGAGGTAAGAGTTAAGAAATTTTTGCTCTTGATAAAAGGCAAAATTGCTGCTGTTTAATAATTTGAAAGTTTGATTAAGTTTACGAAAATAAATGGTTGATTGCTTTAAAGAAAAAAAGGTTTTAGTGTTTAAATTATGGCTAGAATGCTAACGATTCCGAACAAGATGTCAGGACTTCCTATAAAGTACACCAAAAGGTACACTATTTGATATTCCAGATGGGAAATGAATTTCTTGTTTGTGAGTTCAGTTTGGATGCTTCAGGACTGTTCATACATCTAAAACTGGTATACACTGAATTATTCTATTGTTCTTGCAAAATCATAAAGATTAAAAATCACTTGATGCTTAAAAGATCCAACAAACTGATAATTGCAAAAGATCCAACAAACTGATAATAAAAGTGCCGTATAGAAAATCCCTTTATAAGAAGTACATTCACAAGAAGTTTGAAATTTTAAATCGTAGGTGAATGTAATTATATATTTATATTTTAAGTCATAAGTAAATATAATTATATAATTATATTTCCAATGTATTTTGAGCATATTCAAGTTTACTTTGTGATCAGTTTTAAATCTTAGTTTGCTGATAGCATTCTCGATAAGAATAATTTACTGTATTGGCGTTATTGATTATTTACATGAAAATATCTTAGTATAGTGATCTTTAGAAAATTTTAACTAAAGCTTTAAACGTTGATGATACAAATGATCCTTACATAACATGAGAGACATACCGTGTGAAGAAGAAGCTCTAATAAATGTCATTAATTTGTTATCATTTGAGAGATGAAAACTTGCTATTACGATAGATACGATGAAATGAAGTATTTTCAGTAATAATTCATCATTTATATTTAATTTTTGTCGGAAAAGAAAAGACGTCCATGCAATAACATTCACATTCTGTCATTTCTTTTTCCTTGTTTTGCTGTCATTTTATTTATTTTTCTTCTGCAATCCAGTTCATTCACTCTTCAACATTTTCATATTATTATCCGATAATTTTTCAAATCGATCAAAGTTCATCCCACAATATCAACGATAATGACTTTTCCTACACAAATTACGACAAAGTTTGATCTTGATGAAAAAAGAAATGGTTAGTAATTGCATTTTTTGCTAACATATATGAAAGACTTACATATTTGACATGTTGAATTATGCAGATGAAATGTGAAATTGATAGTGAATATTTGCATCATTTAAAATTTTCATCGCTTCCGCTTTATTTTTTCCTCACTTCTACAATAAAACTTTTAAATCGATTTGATTTACAATTGGAAAGTTTTTGTTGAAAAATTATATAATGCATAGAGGGTTGTTTAGTTACCTGGGCGATAGTTCTTTCCAGTGACATCTATCGGTGTGAGGCCGGTACGATTTCTTCGAAGAGATTTATTTTAACAAATGATATTTCTGCTCATCTCTTCCTTCGTCACCTACCTTTATTTCGGTAAAGCTTGTGAAGGTTGAAGCAAATGAGACAACTTTTTTTTGGCGAAGTCGTTTTTTCCACTTTTCATCATCATAATTTTATTTCCCCGCAATGATCTCATACCATTTTTACTAATTAATGTGACGAAAGCGTTGCCCTTCCGAGCAACTGATACTTGTTCTTATTTCCTGCTTATACGATTCGTCACTTTGAATGCTTTGATGAAAGTTATGGTATTATTGCTCTGCCTGTGGATGGTTTAAATAAGTGGGACAATTTGATGCGTACATCGCAAATCAAATTTATATTTCAAATGGTAGGAATTAATCTGATATTATCATTTGGGATAAACATAGCAGTACACAGATGAGAGAAAACACAGATTAATTGGGTAATTGATTTAAGAAGTATTTTTCGCAAAATGGATCGTAAAATTAAACTTACAAATCTGTGCTAGGGATGAAACGTCGTCCTCAGTATATAACGATATATGACAAGACGGCCTATCTTCTCATCGATGATTCTTGACAGTTTACATAAAGTTCCTCAAATTACACTTAGCTTTACCTGATACGTCTGCTCACACTATATTTTTATTTATGCTTTTTTAATTATGGAGATCAATTTCAGGTACATTATTGTGGAAGCAAAATGCGTGATGATAGCAATGTGATATGTTACTTCCAAGACAGCAAAACATGCTATCAATGCAAGAAAGCCAACAACCGCCGCAATATTTCCGTTTAGGTTCACGCGCGCCACAAATACTCGCAGAATATACTGCACTTGCTATCACTCGATTCTTTCGCTATTCTTTAATTCATCGATGATCTCTTCTTCCGTACTTCATCATTGATAACACTCCTATCTCCACACCCATTGACATGCAAGAAATGGAAGTGGGAGACGATAGAAGTGAGGGCTGTTTTAAAAATGATGACGTCACGCGGAGAGTGTTAAAGAAGTGCGGGAAAGAAATAGTGTTGCTTATGAGTAGAGTTTGGGGGATGCTAGAGAACATGACTCATCCGTTCAACTGACTCCACACTGACTCATCCCATTTCAGGCTGAACAAACACAGCACAGCACCCTATCGTCGAGCATATTTCTACTGGCGTTTTTCAGCTAAATTATACGCGTACGCTTGTTAATTCATCATACGTATCCGTGTGACGGATATCTTTATGTATGCAGCTAACGGTGTTAGTGGGCCTCTTTTATCTCTGTAGAGTAAAAATTTCCGGAAGATTTTAGATAATTTCCATGAAGATGCAGAAAAGATCTGTTGCAAGTTGCCCTTTCTTCTCTGGAATAATCTAGCTAACCATATCTTTACCTAACAGATGTTGGCTTTGCATATGGCTATTATAAACGTTCATTTATTTATTTCATACTTTTTAATATACTAAGAAAGAAACTCAACTTGTTCAACTATCGTATTGTAAACGCATAAGGTTTTCCTAGCTCTAATGCTATGGAAGATAAAGTATAAACACAATAAGCTTTCTTTCCTACAATGCGTTATTTGTTTATTATTATTATTACCTTCCACGAGATATTACCATGTAGATATTATTTCTATAAATGATATTCACGCGAAATTGTTGATGACTTGAAGAAATCTTGCTAGTTGTCTGATATAACACGGATTTAGCATACCTGTAACCCATTAATATCATTTTCAAGTCACATTGAATTTTGAAAGATACAGATTGTCAGAAAATTTTAATGACATCATTTTCCGCAAATATTCTTCAGGCCATGTTTTCTTCCACTTCTTCTTAGTCTGACTCTCAAAATATCGACACACTCACATTATAGTAAGAATGTGATCTTTAGTAATATCACGTCAATAACGCGAAGGTCACGCGACAGCACAGGGAACCCCCAGCAATCACCAAGCCTTGCTGCGTGTATCGATGAGTATGAACAATATCGAGTCGTCATGCAATCATCGTCTCAGTCGTATCATTTTTTGATTTGATTCACTAGAGGTGGAGGATGCCTATTTTATTTGTAGAATCTACAGGATGGAAAGAACCAGTTTTTTTCCTTAGTGCAGAATGAGAAAAAATGTTTCAATAATTTAATCAGTGAATGATAATGAATTTAAGGCCTCTTTTGGCCTTTCTACCACCAACTTTATTGATTCTAAGCAAACAATTCCTATATCATACAATATTTCCATGATATGGTGGCCTATTTATTTCAGTGAAGTTAGGAGTTAATAGATTATTTGGCTGGTATGGAAACTTGAAAAAGTTCCTTTAAATAAAGGATTGGACGAACTTGAATATACTGTAACCAAATTGTAAGAAAGAAATGAGGAAAGCTTTAAAATTTATTGTCTTTACTGATCAAATATCTAATTTTGAAAATCAATGCCCTTGTATTGTTTATAATGTCGGCATCGAAACTTTTTCAATTGTGTATGAATTGTGTTGATTGTAATCCTAAAACAGGAAAACGTATAGTACTTCACATGTCTGAATTTCTTTTAGAATAATTAAGATGCTGATATGTTTATCTTGAATTCGAGTGAGACCCGTATCATAGAGTCATTTCAATATGTTTTAGGATTAGGATTTTGTCCGTCTTCAAACTGCACTATAATGACACTCTACGGAATTGTCCGTTATCGAATATTGCTTTGTCTAATGCTGTTCTAAAATTTTTAGGATTTCGAAAAAAGAAATGTCAACAATACCATCTGCTGCAGCTGCAACAACCGCTGATTTGTCAACACCGAATGCAGCATCATTGAAGCAACTAAAAAGCAGCATGCATCTCGATTTCTCATCGCCTACATCATCAAAAAAGCAAATAATTAGTGCTGATCTTCTGGATATCATCAAAGCATCACCAACAATAGGGAAAATGTTTTCCCAAGGTAATAGATTTAATAGAACATATCAATAATAATAGTATTGCAGTGATATAATCGCGAGTTTGTTGAGCTGTAACTGTTGGTTGTTTTTACAAATTTCAAATATTTTGCCGATCTGTTGGTTCTTAAAATTGGATATGTATTGAAAATTACTCCTTTGTAAAGCTACTATTTATTACAGGCACAACCACGCCAACTCCTACGAAATTATTGTATCCTTCTGAAGTTACATTGGCGCAGCGACAATATGCTCAAGGTTTTATTGGTAAGAAAATTAGTTAATCACCAAATTTAATTGGCGATTTAATGAAATTCTGTGAATTCTAAATATGAAGCATCTTATGTCTAGTACATTGGTACTTGATCTTGTTCTACTTTCGGCTGTGTTTCCTAATGGTAACTGGTCGTTTATTTTTAAAATATTTGACTTAAGGGGATAATCAAGAGAATAATCAAATTCCTTTCTCTTGCAAATACCACGCTATTACACGGTTAATTATCTGCTTGCTGTTAACCGGTCGTTTATGAAAATATTTTTGTGAAATTGAAGATTCATAATAATCAGAGCAATCCTTCCGACAATTCTCTTTATCAAACCTCCTCTGAGCTAATTTGTTATTACATGAAGAAAACGTCGCAGCTGAAAACACAGTTTTCAAAATTTGAAAAGTAATTTTGAACTGTCTTACATTTTTATTAACCTCCAAATTATTCCAATCGTTTTCCTGACTTTCGTAAAATGAGCCACATAATTGTGAAGCACAATTTAATCTTTCATCGCTAATGTCTTTTTTTCATATTTAGTCAGGATTGTTGAACATAGATCCAGTAAGGTGTTAAAAAGGCATAATTTGACAGTAAAGAATTTCATTGCCTTACTATATTTGAGAAACCGAGTAGCCTTACTATATTCATAGTCTTACTATATTTGAGAAACCGAGTAGTAACATAATATGAACCATAACTTTTCTTGTCTTAAATCTTATCCGTATTTTGTTCCATAAAAACATGAAGCGTGAAGACATTTTGTCTAAATATTATATGTACCTTTTCGTATTTGAAAAGAATGAAATGAGGGCGGTTTTTTTGCTTGATCATATATGGCAAATGAATTGAAAAATCGATCCGCAGTACTATAATTCTTTCGGATTTGTGGATGCTCCTGGGTTGTTCATCCGTATTTCTCATCAAAAAAATTTACCGATATTGGAAGCGAACAGAAAATGCAAGTTGAATTATTTAACGATTTCTACACTTTCCCTCTGTTGTAAGGCAAGGTTGTTTTGCTACGAGTTGTGAAACTTCCGCGTTAGAGTAAATTCCTTCTCATTTTCTCGAAGCGTATGCAATCTTCTGTGACTTTTTTCAAGTGATACCTGGTGCATATTTTAATCTGTCGTCAGCTTTTAAAGACTTCTCATTTTTCGACTTAAACTAATCCGCATTACTTATGCATCGCTATCGAAGTGTACGAACAGCTTTATAAGCAGGAGATATGGTATTTTCCTTTGACATTTCATTGCGCAATTTCCTGTCACATCTGTTGTTTTGGGATGGGTCACTTTATTTCTGGCATTACCGTAATGTTGTTTACTTCGGGCTACGATTTCAAATATGCTGCGCCTGTCGCATTCATTTGCATTGAATCAGTGGAATTATTTGTGTTTCCATGAATGGAAGAATGCTTATCAATAAGTACGATGGATCATGTAAATATCAATTTTAGGATTTAAACGTAGCTAAGAAGCTAGAGACTTCTTAGCCTCTAAACATTCAAGAACTAACTGTAGAGATAAGGACATTTTTTACATTTCCATTGTTTTATTAGGAAAGTAACATTAGTAAAAATATGTTCATGGAAGAGCGTTTTGTGTTGTATATGTGGAACATTGTTGTTTCTATTTAAACTTCCGTTAGTTTTGTTCGATTCAGTTTGTCTTTCATCGTTTCTTCTGTTATTTCCATATACATAAATGAAATGGAGATTATGCCATCAGAATGCTATTATAGTTAAGGGGAAAACATTATTTAGGTGAAATATAGAAATGGTTTTCATTTTCTTTTGTTTCAATCTTTTATTGCATTTTTCTCAAACATTCGTTCTTTATTTTTCGGTTCTTACATATCATTATTAATCATTATATTTTATTTTTCTTAAATCATCAACTTAATATTAAACTTATTTTGTAAACAAACAAATCAAAATTTCATTATTCCTAAATCACAACTTAATATCAAACTTTAAAAATGATTTAGGAGAAAATAATCCAACATCAGCACCAATAGCGTAGTAGTGATTTATATTAGAAGAATGAAAAGTATAATATTTCGCCATATTACTGTAACGTTTGATTACTCGAACATAACTATTAATATCTCATAATGAATGTGATTAATGTCATCATATAATACTTATTGTTCTTTCAACTTTTAATTTTTGCGATAAATTTGAAAAATAAGGTAATAGCCTCATATATGAGGTGTTTAGTAATGTTGTATGTTCGGTTGGAGATTCTCCGCCAAATAAAATATTTTCGGCTCTGTGCTGAGGAAAATCGAATTCTAATCTCATCGAATGAACATTGTACTCTGTGTCGATTCTTGAAAACAATATTATTAAGTGTATTTAAATTTAATGCGAAGTGAAATATTCAGGTGTATAGCAGGAGAATATTTCAGATGCATTAACGCAGGTGCAGCAGTTGAATGGATTTGTTCCATCGCCAGCACTTCTTAATTCTCCGAGTTTTTTGGCTCCTTTATTTCAATCGGTTACCGCATCAACTAGTAACAACGATCAAACGAAGACGGTGACAAGTCCTGTACTTACCAGTCCAAACAGGCAAGTTTTTAAGAATGTTTAAATTTCATTAATTTGTGAGCAGAAGACTGAGTTCCTGGAAAAATGCGCTGGCAGAAAAATTTGTCGTTGATAGGATTATTCTTCCTGTAGTTTTCTTAGTGACTTCTACTTAGCCGATTTTAAGAGTGCGTTTCTTTTTTGATTCCTACTTCTGCTCTTTTTTAATCTATTTCCTTTCAATCCCAAATTTTTAAAGCCAAATAGAATGTCAATTCATAATACAGTAGTGACTGAAGTCCCCTTCACTTTATAGACTTGCGATTTGTTCGAATACTTGGATATTTTCGAATTGCCTTTTCATGATTTCAATAATATGAAAGAAGAGACAGTTTGTAGATGCATTTTTTAATCGTTGCAGAAATATTTACTTATATCTTCCAGTTGTTGGTTCTGCGGGATTGGTATATTGGGGTTAACTGAAGAGATTATACTAACCGAAGTTCACAATACTATGAACAATTAAGGAATAATATATTTTCTCTCATAACTTATTCTGGTAATAATATGTGAAACAGTAATCAGTTTCTGGTTTGAATTGTTAGTAATAATACCTGCCAGAGCAGTAGTGACATCAGCAGACATTGGCATATGGGCATATATTACGGGACTTGAGAAAGGAACAGAGGTGTGATTGCTCGTCGTGGCGCATCTCATTTCTTACAGATGTGCCCGTCAAGTGGGATTTTGTAGAAAACTGTCTAGCTATTGCAGAGGGAAGATGGAAAGGTAAAAGAGTTGATGCTGTTGCTGTTGCTGTTTGGAGGAAGTGAGAGTCTTTTCTGTACTATTGCTTGCCCTCCCCTTCCCCCCCCCCGCCTCTTCCCTTTCCTCCTTTCCACCCGGTCTCTCCTCTTTCATACTCCTCGGAAGTGCGCGCACAGACGTTCAAATAAACGAACCGAACGACTATTTTAGTCTCCATAAAAACTCACTCAAATGCATTTCCCCTATGTTTTGGCTTGCTTTGCTTGTTTTGGATGATTCACCAGTAGCAACAAGAGCAGCATCTGCAGCGGCTGCAGCTTTGTACGCTGTACCATCATCAGCCCATCCGGCGAACGCACTGTTTACTTTTCCATTTTCACACCCATACCTTCTACCCGCTATTGCGATAGTGTACCCTTCTTCCCTTCATACTGACGGATCGATCCGGGAACACACTTCCTACCTTGGCTCAAATATTTTTAATTACTTTTCCATTTGTATGACAGTACATCTTTTCTGTGCTGCGTTAATATTACATCATTCTTTTTGACATCTTTTGGGTTCATATCATTAATTTGTAGTCCCCAAGTTTGAGACCTTGCTGTCACTATCGGTCAAAATTAGTGGCATTTGTCCTGACTTGTTTATGTCGTCTGCTAAATTCATTGATATTTTTTGTATTTTCTTTTTTTTCATCGTTTATTTCCTTTAATCGTATTTAGGGAATGTTGCAAATTTTTGATGGCCTGAAATTATTTCATGTTACGTTGCTTGAGTTATTACTTATGAGAAGTCGAAGAAATCAAGAACTGTTGCATTTTCGAGTGATTCTTGGATTATTCATATATCTTAATGATATATTTGGCTGTGATCCATTTTTTGGAGTAAAATATTTCTCCCTCTCTCTTTTAAATTATCTAATTTTCATTCCCGTGCTTAATTTCTCCTTCTTTTAATTGGAAAAATACTTGTTTGCTACGTTTTCCAACCACGCCAGTGCTTTATTGAGCTGAACTACTATACCTATTCAACTTTTGAATTCTGTATTTTTATATTTTTGGTGAAACCTCAAAATACTTCCTTCTTTTAGGGAATCTCTGTCAGTAATAATGCAGGCAGCTATGAGTGGTATGGGTTCACTTGCTGGTTACAGTTTCAGTCAGTTGACTCCAACTCAACTTACTTCTTATGCTGTGGCTACGTCCTCCACGGTAACAACAACAGCTTCTGTGCTTCAACAGCAACCAGTCGATTCATCATCATCAACCACTACAGCTGTTATGCATCCCAATGATATAACCATAAAAAATGAATTACCAGGTTCATTGTTACATATCAACTTATATATGTATATAATTATGTTTCACCAACATGCTCAAAAACTCTTTTTCAATGTAAGTTTGTTTTAGCTTCAGCGCTATTGTTTTTTTCTGAAGCATCGTTATATAACTGTAGGAAAATATCATTTCTTCAATTTTTTCTCTTTTTGATAGCATATTTTATATTTCACATCTTACGTATCTTGTATCATCACTAAAGAAAGCGGAATTTGTATTAACTTGTATTGTCTGTTTTTTTTGCGATTAGAAATTGTCTTTCAGTAATTAAGATTATATTTTTCATTACAGTGAATGCTGTTTCGTTTTAGATTGCAGTTCGGTGACATCCTTGCAGTCGGAAAGTATCAACGGCACATCAGCTTATGATGCTTATGCAACCAGTGAAAGTAATCATGAAATTGAAGCATGCGCATCGTCCATACGTTCAAGTGCCAGTCCTCGAAGTCAGGAGGAACATATCTTCATGGGTCCATTTTCGTATGTTTTCCTTGTAATCACTACAATTTAATTTCTGTTGTCGGAGTAAAATTAGTGTTTTAAACCACAAACTTCCTCGAATGCAGCTTGTAGGAAGTGAATTTGTACTCCAATGCTCCTTCCTAATGGTTTCCATTCTGCTGTTGAAAGATATCTTAATGACAGTCTGTCCCTACTTTAGTTTTAAATTTTTCTTTTGTTTTGTTGCATTTGTATTTGACGATAACTTTCAACAAAATGCGCTGAGTCAAGTAAGAAACAAACAATTAATTGAACTTTTGATGATAAAAATTGTGATGAAATTGAAAAGTGAAGGTCGAATGTTTTAAAACTTACAAGCGTACTTGATTCAAATGCAGAAAGTACAGATTAGTTCTATCCTTTCTTGCAGACACGAGAAATGATGGCCTGTTTTGAAAGGGGAAAATAAATTTTTGGAAAATTGATCTTAAAGGAAAAAAAAATGATCCTAAATCTGTTGATATATATAATATTAATATGAAATATATGGAATTTGTCCGTGAATTTCTGTGCTATATTTTAATAAATATAATTTTTTTCATAAATATTTTCAAATGTTCAGAACATCTTATATAAGGAAGTGGGCTTGCATACATCAGATAAGCAGTAAGATTTATATGATCCGTATTATAATGTTGTTAGGACAGAAAATTTTTTTAATTATGTTGGTGGTCTGGATAGTACTTCCTTATATAAGATGTATTATCGCACACCATTAAAGTTTCTGTTAAATATCATCTCTGAAAAGCAGAGTCGTTGTGAATTTAATTATCTAGACATCAAACGTTATTTTAAGTTGAAAGAAATATATCCATTAGAAAGATTCTAGATAGTGCACTGCAGCAAAAGTCGGTGATACGTGAGTATATGACATACTCTTACTGGAAGCATTTGTCTTGCAGTGATTGAGAGATATTTAGTGATTCCTCAATTCGTGCAACAGTTTTGTATTCAAAAATTAGTTGGTCGTAATTAGTTATCGTAAATGGAAACTCCATTCCATGTGTCGCTTTGGTGTATAGTCAAGTTTTATTCCTGTGACTAACTGTCTTTTTTACAATTTTGTTCCTTCAATTCTGAAAACTGAAGTTCAGTTCAGAAAAACTGATTTTCTATGTAAGACAATAGATTTTGCAGCGGTGATAGTTATGATGCACTGGAGCAGGAGAAGAAGAAGCTGGAAAGAAAGAGAGCACGTAACCGCTTGGCGGCGTCAAAATGTAGGCAGAAGAAGTTGCAAAAAATAAATGATCTCGAGAAACAGGTCTGATATATGTTTATTATTTTTCAGGAAACCCTTCTTTTCGGATCCTCTTCACAAAGTAACAGACTCATGTGCTTTTAATTATCAAGACAAGTGTTTTTTCACTGTTTCCTGATGAAGTCTGAGTCTGCTCAGAAGTTAGATATGAATCGAAGTGATTTTATTGACGTGAATAGGAGTGATTTTGCATCTCGGAAATACTAAGCCTCTGTGGATTGAATTTTATTAAAAGGCATTTGGAACTCATTAGTTTTTCCGAAATTATCAATTAATCCCCAGATTCTTTTCGAAAATTAGTGGAGATATTTGGTTTTTGATGTTGGTTGTTTATTTTCTTCGTGTCGTATATTTGGGTTTTGTAGTGAAATTTCTGATGCGTTGAATAGAAGCAGTGAATAGAATTAACATCATGGAATTGTTATGTTTAAGATTGAGAATAATCATAATTGCACGAAAATATCTTTTTTATTGCTGCAAAAAATATACTTTATATTCATTTATATATTCGATTGTATCATTTCATACTTCATTACATTGAGAGTTTCTGACCTCTCCAATTTCTTCGTTTAAATTGGGAATAATATTAAATATTAGTACTTCATGTTGAAACAAAGACAGTAGATTAAATTCACAACAATCTTATTCATGGTGTTCTTCAAGTCGAGAGGATTAATGTTGTAATTGAGTTTTTGAATAGAAATATAGAATAACTTTCCTTTTTATAAGTTTTCAGGTAGAGGAAGAGAAGCTCAGAGCGAATCGTTTGAATGAGGATCTTAAACTTTTGGAAACGTCCATTGCTCAGCTGAGGCAGCTGCTTCAGGAACATCATAATAATGGTTGTTCTATATCTGCCAAGGTGATCTCGACATGATTTTAGTTAGAATTGTTAATTTTGTTTTTTGCTAGTTTTGACTTCTAGTTTCTCCGTAATTTTTACCTAAGAGATCATTCATATTTCACGTAATGGAGATACTGTTTGTATTGAATAACTGTGAATTTTTAGATCATTTCAATAATTGTGGACAGCCCTGAATATTTCGTATCTAATTACTGTATTTCTCATGCTCACGAATTACGAGGCTGAGTAGATATCTGTATTCATACTGGTTTTCTCACAAATCGCTCGGTTCACTTTAGTGCTATTTCATGGATAAAATTTCTGTTATAGGCTCTTTGGAACTTCTTTTAAAACAGGTTGCAATTATAGTTAACTTTGGAAATGCAAACGTGGTCCCCTGGGTTTTTTACTAGTTTTCGATTTTATGATATTTTTTCATCTGTATCTTGTGATTCTATTTCTGCCTTATACATTATGCACTTCACTCGCCAACATGCAACTAGTTTTGTTTTCGTTGATTACTGTTAATTTTTAATGCTATAATCGGAATCATTCCTGAAGGATGATAACATACTGCAGTTGTTTTTTTAATAAGCGATTCCTTTCTGTTCGAAGCGATTTTTTATTTTGCTTTTTTGTTTAGATTCTACGTTGAACTTATGGATAACGCGGCTTTATTTAAGCTGTCGATGTTTGTATTAATTTCTGTAAAGGTTGCATAGAGCAGAATTTTTATAGTTGACACATTGTTTGTCTTCCTTAATCCGGTTTTATCATCGTTTGTATTTATAGCTGTTTCCGTAACGAAGGACTTTAAATTTAAGTTTAGTATCTGTATTTCAGCATTTTTTTCTTTTCCTCGCTTAGTAAATTCATCTTTATGTTTCGCAACTGGTGGTGAAATGGTCTTGCAGAAACGGTGATTGATAATATTAGTCATATTCGTACTTCCGAAAGGAACGGCTTTGTGATCGTTTTCGTTGTCACATACTTGCAGGTTGATAATTGTTGATATAAATTTCTCAAGTGAATAAATTTTGGGATTATGTCGCTTGTAAATTTTTACAAATACAAATTTTAACTTAATCAAGTTGGAATCTAATGGATGTGTTTGTCATTTCTCTATTTAGGTTTATGTAGAATATATACTGATATACTCCTTGTACTGAAAATGGTTGAGGCGTTATATGCTTCCGCTCAGTAATTTGGTGAGAAAAGTTACCTTCCTTCAATTCTTTGTTTGGAGGTAATAATTTTCAGGGGGTAGGAGATAGATGAAACTAAACGTTGTTGATTTAGCGCATATTTTTTAAATATTTTTTCATTACAAAATTCTGAATTCAGTAATTTATGGAATCTTCTAAGTGGGTGTTAAATCTTCGAGAAGTTTTTTTCAACAATTGGTACATTCTTTGTTATAGTTTACTTGAAAACTGAAGGGAAGACTTAGAATATACTGTTTACATTTTTCTTGCTTCAATAGGTGGTGAGCGATTATCACGGCTAAAAACTTTAAATGCACCATATAGTAAATATCTTCCCTCATTCAAATTCTCAAATTTTACTTTACTGTTTGATTTTTGCAACTGTCATTCAAATTTCTATCTTAATTGTCCATCAAAAATGAATAAGTTTCATTGGTCACTCACGAAATACATTTACAGTAGTCTGCCGATGATTTTATAACATTCACCCGCGATGATTATCATTTACCAAAATAATTTTAGCTTAGTTTTGATTTTCTCTAGACGATTGGAATTGCTGCTAGCATTTTCTCTCTTTTTTAATTAAGCATAAAGGAAACAATAGCAATACTGAGGTAAAATTAAAGGTAATGTACGACGGTTTAAAATCTGAAATAGACCTTCGATTGCAAGTTAGAGTTGAATGATGAACTTCATCATTATCCGATATCACATCATAAAAATATTAGATGAGATCTTCCAGCTAAAAAACCCAGATAATTACTGATCTAATCTCGTTGTTGTTTACCATTTTGGCGTCAGCAAATTTCTTTTCTTGCCAATCATTTATGAAATGAATGGTTTTGATAAGATTAAGAAATTCATATCGCTTAAATAAGTAATGTATTTTTCCAACTTTTTTCTTGAATTTTTCTTAAACTAATTAAAAACACTGATTAAGTTATTATCAGTTATTATCACTTTATCTATTTAAATATTTAAATAAGTGATACTAAAAAAATACCTGTTTTCTCCAATTTTCTATCATGTTCTTTGCTACTTTTTACCTTTTTTAGATGAAAGTAGCAAATATATGTGAGAAAAACAGTTGCAATTTATATCATTTTTATCTTATCATTATCATTATCTCTACCATAATCCATTACTGCCATTTTAATTACTGTCATTAAACTAATCGCTGATTAGAGCGTTTCGAATAATAAGCTCAACCAAAAAGTTACCAACATTTTTTGTTAAATTAATTTCTTAAAAGTTATGCAGAAAAGGTTTAATAGGATCGAATGAAACTGACTAACTTATGATGTCTAATTGTTTGATTTATTTAAACTTTAAAATATTCATTGAAAGTATATTCATAATATTTGATCAATTTCTTGCTCTATCTTAAAGGTATTACGGAAATGATATGAATTATTGATTGGGATAACTGATCCCAATATCTGATAACTGATCCTGAATATCTGAGTATATTATCAAATAATTCAATTCAAATTGATCATTAAAGATATTTCGGGGATGATATGAATTATTGATTGGGATAACTGATCTAACTGAATATCTGAGTATATTATCAAATAATTTGAGAAAGAAAAAAGAAACGAAATTTTAAAAATGATCAATTTCAATTGAATACTATCCACTGATAAGAGAAAAAGAAGAATCAACTATAATTGTGATATTATCACAATTATTTCAACATTTTAATTTTGGGATATTTTTTGAGACGATACGACTTTACTAAGCAAATATAACAAATTGCGCATAATTTCCTATAAATGCTAAAAAATTAAAGTTTGATTCTTTTGTTCCGAAATCAGCCATATTTGGCCAGACATGTTATCGGTCCCAGTAGACCGAGGAGAAAACTCTTTTTGTTCAATATATCGTGATGGGTGGGTGTGTCGGGTTGTATAAGACTGGGGCGGAGTTTTTTGCTTTTCACCTCTTTGACATCGTCCATCTTTCGGCTACTATTAACATCATCAACTAAAAGAGCAAGATTTGAATTGGTCATAAACTGAGCCTATTTGTAATTTCTGAATGTCAGGCCTAAAGATTGCTTAATTGTGCCTTTTTGGAACCAAACAAAACACTCTGATATTATTTATGGCAATTCCTGTGCAATTACTACTACTATCATTAATAGTGAGAATATTAACTTCTCATAAATTCTACAGTTGCCTATTTGATCCAGTAAAATTCAATGATTCATTAGAGCATGCACCACTTATTATTAGTGCTACCGTATTAGATGTTACCGTTGATCCTAGAGATAATCAATTACAGGTAATAATTATTCTTTATCAATTATAACTTAAAGAAGCATTTATTGAAACTTCCCGATAGTATTGAAACTTCCTTACATTAAGAAATTAAGAAAGGTTTTTTCTTTAAAAAAACAAACATACCTTTCTTAATTTGTGTACATACCTTCAGGTAGTAAAATAAATAAATAATTATTCTGAAATGGCTCTTTTTAAATATTCGCAAATTCTTTTTAACTATTCTGTCCGTTTATGAAAAAGCCATTTCTCCATACTATATATACTATTTGCTTATGGCATATTTTATTCATGCAAAAATAATCCATTCAATCATTATCTTTTATTATTAATTCTTATCTTACATATAGTATCATCATCATCGCTTTACTATATTCTCTCTTCGTTTAATCCTTTTTCATTTTTCATTTCTCTTTTATTCTCTGGAAAAAATCTATCATCGTCGTATAAATACAAAATAGACAATCTAAACTTAACTTTGCAACAATTAACTCCAATTAGCAGAAGGTATGCTATACCAAAACTAATAATAGTTTTATTATTGACCCTTAAATTGAGGATTTTAGGAGTTCAGAAATTGAAATGTAATCAGATACACATATGGGATATCATATACTCCTCATTCCTTTAATGATCCCATCTACTTCAATTTACTGCATTACTAGTAAGGAAAGATCAAATAATAGATTCTAGCAACACATATGGAATATCACTTACTCCTCATTCCTTTATGATTCCATCTACTTCAATTTGCTGCATTACTAGTAAGGAAAGATCGAGTAATAAATTTTGGATACACATATGGGATATCACATACTCTTTATTGCTTTATGATCCCATCTACTTCGATTGACTGACTGTATTAGTAGTAAGGAAAGATCGAATAATAGATTTTTTGAATTAATTTATTCGAATACATTTTCATGAGAAAGCAAGTTTTTTATTTGTTCAAAACTTTCATGTTTAAATTTGGAATCATTTTTAATACACTGTTTACAGTGGTACCTATTCAACTAGTACATCTGAGGTTGATGATCATCTTCTATAATTCGATCATCTCTCAAGAGATTAATTTCAACAGTTAATTTTCATCTCTCTTTTAAATAATATATTTGAAAATAGAGAAAGCACATAAAATACATAGCGCTATCAGTTTAACTATCCTCTTGTCTTTTATCTCTTTTTCATTGCAATTGACAGATAAGCAAGAAAAAAATTGATTAAATCAGCGAAGTATTTCAAATAGCAAATAGATTTTATTCCAATACATTTTCATGTATTTCTTGAATGAAATACAAAAAGAAACGATTGCAGTAAGACTGCAGAAGTTGACAATTTCAATACAGGATTGCAGTAAGACTGCAACACAGATGGATTCCCATAACTTATTTCTATTGAATTGCCAAAAATTATTCTTCTTTTTCTTCCTATCACTATCCTATTGAGAAATTTATCATTGATGACTGTTTCAGATGGTCTTTTATCATAAATAAATATTTCTATTTGTAACTTCATCAAAACATTTCATAAGATTTCAAAGCAAAATGATGATCGATATGCGAATTCCTTCACATCTTCTAATCTGATAATTTTGATTACAACCGACAGGGTTGATTCCATTGATTACAATAGGAAGAATTGATTTCATATAAAATTTGAAAGCAACGATTTTTGGAATTTTGATTGCAATAAGGAGAGTTGATTGATTCCACAATGTGTAATGTTGACATCTTCACTTTCCTCTGGTCAAAGCTTTCCCCGTTCTATTTCTGGTGTATTAACTTCATTCTAATATCTTCTAGATGTTGTTAAATCGTTTTCTGTTGTTGCTGTGGGAAACGACTAACTAATCATTTACTTTAAACTGTTTATATTATTCTATTGATCAGTGAGGTCATCAATTCTGTCCCATCCATATATATATATATATACAACGATTATTTTCTTTTGCATTATTTGCAGACTGCTACAGTTCGGGTGAAAAGAATTTTCAAAGGTTTCAATATTATCGGTGGTAGGAAGAAAATAGCCATTTATGGGTTAGGCAACGTACAGGTAAATAATTCATTTTTAAATCTTTCGCGATAATATTAAAGGCTGCTAAATTTACCTATTAAAGGTTTAATTCCTTTCAAATTTAATCTTGAAATTGTAATAAATGATATTGGCATATCTTAAATACATTTATTACTATTATATCACAAATATATTTCTATTATATTTTATTCTTTTAAATTTGATTTCAAATTCAATTTTACATTTGGTATCACTAATTACCCATTCCAATTTAAATAACTGAGCAATTTTATCTTTTGTTTCAAAATTCTACAAATGAATTTTCAATTATAAAAATACTTCTCAAATATTAAAATACATTGGAATTTGCTTTTCGTAGTAATTTAGAATGTAAAATAAAAAGAGAGCTTTTTAGATCAAAGTGTATCATCGAAATTCCATTTTAATATTTCAATTGACTATTGCAATAAATTTTTAAATAAACTGTCAATTATAAATTCGTGAAATTCCATATAAAGTTAATGTTGAAATAAAACATTTGAGAATTACTTCACGTATTTGCCAAATTCCTCTTATAAAAGAATATATTTAAATTAATAAAGAGAAGAAAAAAAACAATACATAAATAAAACAAATTTTCAAAATGCTTTGTTTTAACATTAACTATATATGGAATTTCAAGCATTTATAATTAGCAGTTTATTTCAAATTTTATTGCAATAGTCGAAAAAAAAGTGTTTTGTTGATAATGAAAATATTTATATATTAATTGGGAATGTATGATTGATTCTAAGTTTTAAGAATTGATTCTGTTAATTCAACCTGATATGTTATAGTTTTGTTTATTTCTCCAAAGATATTTATTTAATTGCAGATCTGCCGGAGTATTCTGCATGAACGAGAAACGAAGATAATCCTCTTAAATGAGCTTAATGGATTGTTTTATCTTAATTCATCATTGGTTCCCATTAATCTAAATATTCTCGATCAGCTCAATGCTCATTTTCAAGGTTAACTATTTGTTTTTTTAAATTTCTTTCTTTCTCTTTTAAGATATTTGAATTACAAAAATCAACAATAACAATTACTAATATTATGTGAAATTGTTAATTACATAACTATTATTATCTCATTGTTTATTCAATTTTATTAAACTGAAAATTATTAAACAATTAATCGGAAATAGACAAAGTTTTCCAAAAATTTAATTAAAATGTATGAGTAATTAGTTAAGGTATTTGAAAGCAACCTTTACACTCTTTTTCTTATCCATTTACCTGACTATTTTGGCATTTTAAAAAATACGGAACGCATATGGCGGTTAAGCAAAGAGTTGGCAGCTATAAATTTTCCATCCATCAAATCTTTCCTTTTCTATGTTCCGGTTTTTTTCCTTGCACATCTCTCATAAAAATTTCACAATGTCTCATTTCAACAGTTCTTTTATTACTATCCATTTTATCCGTCTATTTTCATCCGGAAATAGCCAATTGGCATAAATTATTTGTAGCACAGAATAGCGCCCAATTAATCGAACTTCTGTAATTAACTTAAGCAAAATTTCTTTCCATCAATTCACAGCTGTTCATTATCTGAGAAAAGAAAAATGAATAGTTTCTTGTAGTTTGAATGGCTTTCTTTTCTTCCGCTCCTTTTAATTGGATAACATTTGGAGATATCGGGAGGTATCGGTGATAACGAAGGTGTGCTATTGGAATATCTCTTTTTCTTTCATCCATACATCTGCCAAATTTTATAACAGAAATTTAAGTTGTAAAAAAGTTTTATTTTCTTGAAGACAAAAAAGAAAATAGTTTATTTTTTATTTTAAAAAATTTTTAGGGATTTTCTTTTAAGTGGACCAACAATTTTAAAATGTTAACATTGCAAAATTTTAGATCTTTCAATTTTTAGAGGTCTAAAATTTGAATTTTTAAAAAATTTTAGGCCTTTCGATTTTTAGGGACCTAAAATTTGTTACGTTTTTATTCAACGCCTTAAATGATAATGAAAATGAGTTAATGTTTAGGTCGAAAAACGAATTCAAATTTGAATACGAATTTTTTTTGAGCTTCTATAATCGTTTTCAAATTGTTGAATATTTCATTAAATCTTTATTGTTTTTTGTGCCTAATTTAGCAAATGATTTAATTGACATTTTCTGATAATTAATGAAGAAACATCGGTAAGTGTAAGATATGATTTCTTTTTTTTGACCTGTCATTAAGACCCTCTGCATAACTTCAATAATATTGCATTGATACCTGGTCTAGATCATTCCTCTCTTTCTAAGAGGGAATGTATTTTAATTGTTGACTAAGACAAATTACACGTGTAAATTAAATTAACGTAATTAATAAATAGAGTAATTTGCAAAAATTAACTCCAGAAATTTATTAAATTTCCTAAAAATTAGCTTTTTAAATATTTTTAATTTAAGTTTAAATTTGCTATTATTGTTAATCAGGATTGAAATTCAACCATAGATTAGACAATCGATTCAGGTATGAATCGTAAAGCGTTATTTAATAGTTTTCGTAAGAGAGAAATAAATATACAATTTAGTGTTCTTGACGAGGCTGTCACAACGAATGTACTTTGACCAATATTTTCAATGCGGATTCTTTAATTCATTATTTCATTATCTGAATTTATAATTCTTTTCAGGTTGGGTGCGTAAAAAGCAGCGACATATAAAACGAAGTGAGAATTTTATTAAATGCTTCAATTGTCAGAAATTTTTAAAAGGCTTAAATTTTGTTTAAATTCCAAAATATTCCAAAAGTTAAGTGACATTTTAACTCAATGCTTATGCTTGAAAGCATAAATAAGCTCGAAATGAGTCATAAAATGACCAAAAATTGAATAAAATGACCATTTCGCCCTGTTGAATTTTTTCCTATATTTCAATAGCATTTTTTTTAATTAAACATTAAACAAATATCCGATATGTGGGATGGTATAAAAATGAATAATGTTGAATATATTGCACAAATTAATTTACATATATTTAATTAGCAAACGATTCTTTTCAGCAAAATGTGAAGAAGTACGATGTCCATATGGCGCTAAATGTCGGCCAAATAGGTTAAACCTTTTTTTATTTAATTTATTAAAACAATTTCAATAAATATTTGAAACAAAGCATTATTGCAGTAAATGTTTATCTTATCATATGCAAGCTATTATCATTTAATGCTTGCGCATAAAAATTAATCCATTAAAAAATTTTAAAATACGACCAATATCACAATATACATATAAATTATTATGATTTATAACTAATGATGAATATGTTACTCATATGCATTCCATAATATACTGATATTTTGATAACTAACGGTCAGTAATATGATAACTACAATTTTGTAAAAGTATCACTGATAATATTTTAGTCGATTTTTCTTGATTCTTTAAATTGAATAATTCATTGAAATTTCAACAAAATTGCAGCGGTAAATGTGAATGTCGTTCGTTTTGTAATACAGCTGGACCAGCGGTATGTGGTTCGGATAATGTGAGTTATCTTAGTGAATGTCATCTTGCAGTGCGTTCGTGTTTTGCGCGTTCGGAAGAAAAATCGGAAATCCGAGTTAAACAAATTGGTGCATGTGGTATATTCTTTTCTTTTACCGTATTTCTTGATTCCACAGGAAAATAGGATTAAATAAATTTTAAATAACAAATTGATTTTCTTTTACATTTTTAGAAATGAGAAAGAAACTTATTGTAATAAGTGAAATAATATTTATCTAGCAATACTACTACTTTTTCAATTATATCATTTTAAAATTTGATTAATTTCTAGTTTTGTATGCTCACATAAAGATAGTGATAGTATTTGACCTATGGCCTGGTTACATTTTTGTAGAAATTACTCGAGAAAAACTTTCTTGCACAAAAAAGCTAAATTAGCAAATTCAATTCAGATCCATAATTTTACCGATTTGATATTGCAATTTACCTGTTAACATTCAGGTTATCTTCGTTTTTTACTAATTGTTGAATGAACAAATTTGATTTTTGTTGGTAATTTTTCTTTTCATTTCCTTCGATCGTTTTGTTTTGAACAGTTCCGTAAGAATGAAAGGAAGGGATACACTACGAGAAATGTAATTATTGAAGTTTTTCTTTCAACCGGAACTTAAATTTTCAAAAAATTTTTTTACCTTTAAATTTTACAATAATTTTTATTTGAATCATAAAAGAGAAACGAAGCATAAAATAGTTAATGCTTAATGCTCTCAATCTTTTCTTCCTCTTCATATTACTCATTCTTTTTATTTGTAAAAATTTGAAAATGAGCTAATTTTATTTTAAAATTGATTAGTAAGAGAGTAAGGGTACCATTATTATTTCAAATAAAAACAATAATGAGGCTATTAAATACAGCAGCTATATAGCTTCAAGAAGATAGAGTTAAATGAAATATGCTTTCAAAATATATTTTCAAATAAAACACTGACTATTTCTGGTAGCTGAAAATAAAAATAAAAATAATGAAATATTTCTCAATCTTCAATAATGTTTGAAATGGTCGAAAGGCACACATAGCCAATGAGGCAATCGAATATGCTGCATATGTTCTTGGCTGCAACAAAAAGTGCCCCATCGACTAATAACAACAACTTCTTCGTCTTCATCGTTTGGGTTTAATTTGCTAAATGACATATTCCACTTAAGCGTTTTATGTCAAGAAATGAATGAATTGAACTAAAATTCTACTCTTTCGATCAATTACCGTCAATATTTGTCTTTCCGATCAAATCATCTTTATTAATATTTCACTTCGATGCAATAAAATTTTTTGCAATTTTAAAATTTCATTTCTGGCAATTTAAATCAATTTTCGATCTTGATTATTTGCATTAAGTATTCATTTGCTTAAGTACTGATTCCGATAGATTATTGTTTCAAAAAAATTTTATTAGAAAAGCACTACTATCATTAGTATGTCGGCTTATTGCCTATTAATCGCTCTTTTTATTTCATTGAATCTAAAATTAATTCTGACTTGTTACAAATGGACAAATGGTAAGCGCTTCCTGTAGTTTTGCGTAACCTAGAATTATTTTCATGGTACTATGGTACTCATCATGAGTGTACAATTTTTTCTATACTCTATTAGCTTTCCTAGTATTTCTTTATTCTTTTAGTCTTTAATTATTAATTTCAGTTTTTCATCATTGACTTATTCACTTTTTCAACTTTAGTATCACTACTTAGACTTCATCTTTGCGATATCTCCGAATGATCTCTTTAGAAAAGCGTAATCCTTGCGAAGATTTGCGATGTGGACCTGGTGAGCAATGTGTGATATCGGAGAATGGAAACGGTTATATCTCAGCGCATTGTGTCTGCCCAGAACAGTGTGATAATTTTGGTGACAGTGTTGAATCATCACCTGTTTGCTCTAATGACGGAACCGATTATCCATCTTTATGTCATCTCCGAGCACATGCATGTAAAACAAAGCATAATGAAAGTATAAAATACTATGGTAAATGCGGTAAGTATATATCTTCCTTCATAAATTTTCCTCAAAATTCTTTATGTACCAAAATTCTTTTAATTTAACCAATTAGCGAAAAATCAAATGAGAATACTTTTAAACACTCTTGTAGTTTTATTAAATTGATATTAAAATTTTAGTAGATTTTATTTTCAATAGTTAGATAAAAGATGTATTCTCAAATAACATCCATTAATCTTTCATAAGGAGACGAACACTGATAAATGATTAAAGCGGATTCGATATTCTCTTAAGTATAAGCCTCAGAACAAATAATTTCAATTCAGAATTTTAATCTACAAATATATTCAATTTAATCTATAAATAATTATTCCAAATCTTATATTGCAAAATTTTTAAATTTCTATCAATTTTAAGTTACTTTAAATCAGAAATTTCAGATCCTTGCAAAGATTTCATTTGCTCCGCAGGTACAATATGCAAGGTAACAACGGATAGACGTATTGAATGTCGTTGTTCACAACAATGTCCATTGCATTCTGATCCTGTTTGTGCTACTGATGGCAATACGTAAGTTGGCATGAATATTTTTGTATCGTTTTGCAAATATTTGAATAATTTATGCTAAAAGATTGAGAGAAAATTTGAAGTTTGCAGCAAAGATCAAAATTAGTGCCAGATTAACATATTCTAAAATCTATCATATGGAAATTGAATGAATATTTCGGTGTGAAAAAATATAAAATTCACTAATTATTACAACCTATTCAGATAATTACTACAACTTATTCAATCTATTCATCATAATTTATAGTTTATTTTAATAAGAATTTTAATTCAGTATTGATTTCGTTATTTGAGGTATGAAAATGAATGTTTAATGTCGGTGTCAGCATGTCGTCATGATAACGAACTTCTGATTTATCACAAAGGACGATGTAAAGGTTTGTTCTTCTGCAGTTTTTCGTTCTCTTCAAGGAATTAGATTTTAATTAATTAGATAATATAATTTAATTATTTTAATCAGATAATTAGATTTTAATCTTGAAATATATTGTAAATTATGAATTTTCATCAGTGTTACCTATTCAAATTTTGATGTTTACAAATTTTAAAAACTGATTGGACACTATCGGGGGGGGGGGGGGGGGGGGCACACTATACTTCTGG